AAGTTGCACATATAAACTTTGCTTTACAGTGTAGTTTTACACTGAAAAATCAAATCTGCAGTAAAAGCTAATTTCCAAAGTCCTGAAGCAGTTTGATAATAGTGGCTGAGAGTTCTTCTTGTTCAGAAAAATTTCCATCTTGCCTTGAGCTCAAGAAAGTCATGAGAAAACTTTTATTCCTGCTTTTCTTGCTTTGATGAGTATGCACTAGCGATAAAAAAAAAAGTGTTGCAACCCACAAAACACTGTTGAGTTACAACTGCCAGACAGTACTTCAGAATCAATGAGAGCATCACGTAGCATCTCTGTCCCAACTACTCAGCTCTGTCATTGTGGCATGGATGCAGCCGAAGGTAAAAAGAGAAATGAATGAGTGTGGCTGTGCTCCAATAAAACTTAATTTGTGGGAGCTGAAATTTGAATTTTATATAATTTTTACCTATCACAAAACATCATTCTTCTTGTAATTGTTTTTCAACTATTTAAAAATGTAAGAAAAACCATTCTTCACTCTTGGGCCATGCAAAAATAAAGCTGGATTTGACCTATGGGCTGTCCTGGAACAACCCTTTTATTTTACAGATAAGGAAACTGAGGCCAATAAAGGTTAAATGATTTACTCAAAGTCACAAAAATAGTGAGTGGTGGGACTGCGATGTGAAGCAAGATTCCTTCGTCTCTAATCCAGTATCCTTTCCGCTGTATCACACTTCTCAGCAATAATGATAATAATATTAGGTAACATTTATAGAACACCTAAGGATTGATATTGTTTGAATACAGGCTGAAGCATGATATTTTCATTTTCTTTCATTTTTTTTCTTTTATTTGAGTCTTCTTGTCCAAAGTGACTAATATGGAAATGTTATACAGAATTGCCCATGTATAACCTACATCAGATTGCTTACCATCTCAGAGAGAGGAGAAGGGAAGGAGGAAGGGAGGGATAGAATTTGGAACTCAAAACTTTAAATAAAAATGTTAAAAAATATTTTAAAAACACGTATATCACACCTTCTATAGGCCAGGCCGACTGTGTGCTAAGTGATTTTACAACTATCATCTCATTTGGTCCTTGTGACCAAACGAATACCTTAATAGTTAGGTGTTATCACTATCCCTGTTTTACAATTGAGGAAACTGAGGCAAACGGAGGTTAAGTGACTCATCCAGGGTCACACAGTTATTAAGGGTTTGAAACTAGATTTGAAGTCAGGTCTTTCTGGCTCCAGGCCCAGCCCTCCAACCATTGTGCTGCCCAGCTGCCTCATCTTAGGGAATCATTTAGTCACAGACCTCAAAATCACAGACCTTTAGAGGTTCCAGGAAGAACCTCAGAATATGTCTGGTCCAGCTTCTTCAATTTTACAGATGAGGACACCAAGGCCCAGCAAGGCTATGGCTTTCCTATAATTATAGCTAATTATTGACAGCACTGTAATGATCTGGAGCCATATGGAGGTGTGACTTCACTTGATCATCGAGTACCCCTTAAGAATTCTACTTGTGGAAAAAAAAAAAGAATTCTACTTACGGGAATGTAATGAAAATTTTGGCTTGTGATTCTAATTTTCTAGATTTGCCTCTTTGAAACTTCTGTACATTGCTTCCAGTCTCATCTGCTAAGGTCAAATACAATCAATGCAATCCCTTTTCCATGTGTCAGCCCTTTGAAAAATGGTCTATTCCAGAGTAGGAGAGGGTGTATGGGACCAAATGAAAGGAGCATGGATGAGGAAAGATTTGTAGAATACATCCTGGATAGAAAAGGGATGCCTATATACAGGCACACCTCATTTTATTGTTCTTTGCTTTGTTGCACTTTTCAGATATTGGGTTTTTTACAAATTGAAGGTTTGTGGCAACACTGTGTTAAGCACTCTATTGGTGCCATTTTTTCAACACCATGTGCTCACATTATGTCTCTGTGTCACATTTTGGTAATTGTTACAATATTTCAAACTTCGTCGTTATTATTATATGTTACAGTGATCTGCACTCAGTGATCTTTGATGTTACTATTGTAATTGGTTTTGGGGTGTCATGAACCACACCCACATAAGCCTTGAACTTAACTGATGTTGTCTAATAGCTTCTAAGTGTTCAAGTGAAAGGAATAGTCAATTGATGCGGTAAACTCCATTGTCTTATTTAAGAAATTGCCACAACCACTCCAACTTTAAGTAACCACCGCCCGGATTAGTCAGCAGCCATCAACGTTGAAGCAAGACACTCTACTAGCAAAAAGATTACGATTCACTAAAGGCTCAGGGATGACGGTTAACATCCTTTTTAGCAATAAAATTTTTAATTAAGGCATATATATTGGGTTTTTTAGGCATAATACTATTACACATTTAACAGACTACAGTATAATGTAAACATAACTTTTATATGCACTGGGAAGCCAAAAAATTCATGTGACTTGCTTTATTGTGATCTTTGCTTTATTGAGATACTTAATTTCTTGCAGTGGTCTTGAACTGAACCTGCAGTATCTCTGAGGTATGCCTGTACCAGTAAATACAGTGCTAGACCTGGAATCAAGACCTCAGTTCAAATCCAGCCTCAGGCACTTACTAGCCATGTGACTGCCCTAAGTGATGTAACTTTTATCTGCCTCAGTTTCCCCACCTGTAAAATGGGAATAAGAATAGCACCTACCTCAAAGGGTTGTTGTGATATTCTTAAAATGCTTTGCAAACCTTAAAGCACTATAGATATACTAGCTATTAACTCTATGACTTCCACATCTTCTACAGACATATTACACTTATTAAGAATTCATGCTATGAAACTTCCACTCAGACATTAACTAAAATTACTATCCTTAACTCTTCCTAACTTCTCCCCTTGGGTATCCAAGCTAACGCCCATTTCCTTGCTTACAACAATTTCCTGAAGGTTTATAAAATGCTTTCTCCGTGCTCAGCACTGTTTGTAGTTGCACAGAGCTTACAGTCTAGTGGTAAATTTAGAGCCATGTTAGTCCCACCACAGAGCTGCTTTGACGTTTCTTCCTTCAGGCTCTTCCTGTTCTCAACAGCCATCCAACCAAACCTTCTGAATATTTTTTGAACGCATTGAAAAGCAGTCAGTCAAACACGCTTTAGGAATGACTATCTTTCTTTATCTCAGCCTGCCCTAGCAGGCTGCCATGTCCCTTCTGACCTGGCTATTCATCTACATTTTTCAGGTCATATATAGTGTCAACTTGATGACAAGCCAACAAATTGGGCCCAAATACCCAGTGGAATCACACCATTACAGGAATGATTCGATATATACTTACTAAGCACTTACAGTACAGGGCTCTGTGTTAAGTGTAAGAGGAAAGACAAAGAAACCACATTTCTGATGAGGCATAGACGGTGGCACAGGTTCACTTGCAGAGACTGAAGGAGGGGAATTATTACATGTAGGATTGCAATCAAAGTATCTATAGAGCTATGGCTGTGCAGGACAGAGAGCCAGGACTTGAACAGTAAAAAGCAGATCTTTCACCAACCCAAACTGGGAGCTTCATGGAAATTGGGTGAAGCATGGATAAGAGCCAAGTCAGTGTGTACTGAAGGCTCCAACCCCCTCACTCTGGTTGTAAAGAATTTGTCCGTGCTTTCTCTATTGGAATAGTGACTGAAAAGGGGTTTAGTTACCACATTACTCTCCAGGGAAAGTAGAATTGAGGTCGCTCAGGCAAATGTGACGCTACCTCTTATTACTTACTATTCTTGTTTAAATGTTTTACTCTTAAAGTGAAAGATTTTTGATTATGGACCCTTATCAGTAAAAAAAAAAAGCTTGTAATACCTACTGTGTATTATTTACTCATTTATATGTAACATATTTGCAATTATGTTTTGTAAGATATTGATAAAGAGATTTTAAAAAGGATAAAGATGAAATATCTGATCCTAGAATCAATAAGGAGTCATTGGCATTTGAGTTACGGGAGTGATGTGGTTTTGAACCGAACTTTAGGAAAATGATTTTAGCACTTGCTTGGAGGATGGATATAAGGAGACAGACTTGAGGTAGAGAAGCCAATTAGAAGGCTATTGCAATAGTTCATGTGAAAGGTGAAGAAGACATTAACTACAGCGGTGGTTGTGTGAGTAGAGATAAAAGGACAGATGTGGTCACCAACTGAACATGGAGGTATAGGGTAAAGATGACAAAGTGAAGAAGACATCTGAGGTCAGGGAAAAAACATGGATGACTAGGATAGTGGTGCCCTGAGAAGAAATGGGGAAGTTTGAAAGATGGGTGGGTTTGGGGAAGAGATAATGTAAACAGATCTCTGATCCAAATCACAATCCACTGATGCCTATTTACCCTTTGACTCATTCAGTTTCACTACACACTAAAAAGAGTACGTCCTTCAGTGATCTGGGGGCGAAGAGAATTTTCCCAAAAGCACATGTACTGCTACTAGTTAGTTCAGGTTATAATTACCAAAGGGGCTTTCACCTTAAAAGTGGGGAAATTAGGAGTCTGAATAGCAGAGGAAGAGATCAAGAGTAATGGACTGTTGGAGGATAAAGGTTGGAGACAAGCCCCCAAATGAGCTATTTCAGCAAGAGTGCAGTACAACTTGTCTTCTATCCATCAGAGTATTAATCCTTTGGGGGTCAAGGCTTAGCCTACCTGGAAAGGCAGCTTCTTTCTCCCCTCACTTCGGAGACATTGACCTACAATTCAGAGGTTTCCAGTCTCCCCACCTCCACGCATGGGACAAAAGTGAGCCAGAGAGGTAAATACTATTAATAATTCCTCATAATTTGAACACGTCAGTGAGACACTTTGGGGTCTTTGGGCTCGTCCAAATAAATGTCTACCACAAGAACACTCCTGTGTCCTTGTTTCACTTGCCAATAACACCTTCATCGTCCCACCCACCACCTACAAGCTATCTGAGCCTTTCAACTGAATTAAATGATTGGCATTTTCTCTAAGAATCTAGTTTATTGATCAAAGAATATGACACAGGAACACAGGACTGCATCTAGGTCAGCTTTTATTTATACTGAACAGCTTTAAAAATACAGAATAAAATAGCTTTATCTCTACTATTTATTCACAACATCTGGTCCAAATATTACATATTTTTAAATATTTAAACGTTTAATGAAGCCATGTTAGAAAAACAATATGAAATCTTTTAAAAACTCCATAAAAGAATTACACATCTCAAACCCTTCCCTACCCCCCCAAAAAAAAACAAAAAACAAACCCTTGGTATGCAAAATAATAAAAAGACAAATAAAGGAGAAAAATAAAGACAATCCCTCCCCCCATAAAACACCAAAAAACCCCGAAAGGTTTACAGCCAAATTCAGCCACAAAACTCATGGAAAATATAGGCATCCCCACTGTTTTAAGAACATCCAGTCTGTTAACATGTCAAAGGTTGTTCTGAACCAACAACAAAAAAAATACAATAATTTGAATTATCAGCAAGATGGCAACACTGGTCAAGATGTCCTAAGTGCCTGAAAAATACAAACAGCAATCTAAGCACGTCTGAGAGTAACAATATATACTGATGACAAAGCACAGTCACAACCAACCTAACAAGACAGGAATGTTTTTGGATGCTGCTAAAAATGGATTCCTCAATACAAAAAGCAGCCCAGCACAAAGCTGGATGGATGGAGCCTTCGGCAGAAGCAAACAAGTATACGGCCTTCTTGCAATACTGCTAATGACTGGCAGACTGTATGGTGATGGAGGAGATGTCTTATTCTCTTAAAAGCCACAACAAGAAATACTATGATATGTACAGCATGTGGGAATCAAGCCACTGGTCACTAATTCAATTAGGTATCTGACTCAGGGAGAGAGTTGCCTTGTTTTTCATTTATGGAGTTGAAGAAGCCCACTCCATTGGAGCACTGCATTTGTGTGAGGGCATTATACACTGTACATTAATATAGGAATTACGTACTTTATAGCACAAAGGGGTGTGAACTGTATGTCCAACATCTAACAGTTAAGCTATCTTGAAACTAGCTGTCAGTCACTGTTAACCTGCAGTCCCCTTTACACCACAATTAAATTTAACCTGCTGAATGTTCTCTCTCCCCTAAACCCTGAAACTCTTGGTATAAAAGATATTGCCACAGCTGATTGTTCTCTGACTGATGCATCTGGCTTAACCACTCTTGTGGCACATAAAAGCACTGAGAATTACATCTGTAAATGTTCACTCTAATTTCCTAGTACCAATATTTCAGCAGGGACATGAATAAAAGGAAACAACTTCAGTTCTTTGTTATAAAACAGAAGCATGGGTAAATAAAGTATACACAACTACCAGAGATTCATCAATGGAGAAATTCTATTATCACATGACATTGTCATGAAAATCATATCACTCCCTCCCTGGAAACCTGTGACCATTATCCTGGGTGGAAATGTTATTTTAATATATGGAAATACTGCAATATTCATGTACAAACCAAGCTGTTGTATTTAAAGTCAGTATTCAAAGGTACAAAGCAAATCCTGTGTATCTCTCACCCATGGAGACAGGAAAAGTCAGACAGCATGATTGCTTCTCCCAGCTCACCGGTCACTTGGGGTGGCCTGGTGCATTTACTGTAGCCAATCACAGGGAATTTGCTACAAAACTGAAATTGGTGGGTTCCTTTAAACAAGAACCTGAATTTTAGTGTATTGATTAATTCTGAATATGATTCTCAGTTACAGTGCTGGTAAATTAGAGAAATCCAGGGTGAGTTTCCAATTCTTCTATGACTATGGCAAAGAAAGTGATTATTTCTACCATGAATTGGGGCCCAAGACACTCTTCTATTTTTCATTTTGAACATGTCAGGTCTTTTACATACTTTCTACTATGTATATGATTTAGTGGACAAGCATTCGGTAAATTGCTCCATTCCACCAAAAAAAATGTAGTGTGATAAACACAATTCACCCTTACATAACCCTTAGCTTCACACTTGGCTATTTCTGTAAACAGGAAATAAAAACATATCAAATTATCTCCCTGTACCAAATTAGCATCTTTTGTTCCACTGCTTATTTGCCAGCAGTTGAGACTACACTGTATGATGTGATTAACTATGTGTTGTGTATATGCAAGAAACATATTATTGTCCAGTTCAGACATGGACTCCTACCACATTCTGGCTACGTTTTCAACTCTTTGCAAATGGACCTATCGGAGACCTGGTAAATTGTTTACTTTACCACACATTAGTCTCTGCTTCACAAAATAATTCAAAAAGGATCCCTAATCTTGCGATTCAAAGTTCATCCCACTAAACATCTGGTCAAGGTGGGAAATACTCTCTAAAGGAAGCCTCATTACTTTATGTCTCTTCTCTATTTAAGTGAAGGGGCATCACACACGGATGCTACAAAGCAAGACATTCTCCTATGCTGAAAGAGTTGAAAACAACACCCCCCGCCCCAAATCTTTTGCAAACAAGGGTTTCATAAGCAGCTTGGCATCTGAACCTTAACACACAAACCTTTCACACTGTTTTGTGGAGGAAAAATATCAGAAAGGCAAGTCATCCATGTTAACCAGGATGTGTTACTGAATTACAGCGAATTACTGCTGAGATATTTGGCAGCATTACTGTGCTGGACAGCTAGAACTAGCGTCAAGGCACACTTACCAAACGTCATCAGTTTAGCATAGTTTTCTCCATTTGTCAGGGCAACAGAATCAGACAGGGCTAAACACAGCACAGCTTCACAGAGCATGGTAGATTGCCTGACTTGGTCTCACACAACAAAAAAGGACGAGACTGACTGAACCACTGGGTGATTCTCTTTTAAACAACACTGTATCTAATACACACTAAAACAGCCAGAACTTTAATATATAAAACCACAAGCAATTTTGAATACATTGCTTCATTTAATCTGGAATAAGATCTTGGCACGAAATGCAGATTCAGGCCAGGGTGTCCTAATGCAATGCTCACGAAGCTCATGCTTCCTGGAATCAAAGGGTTAAAAACATACAGATTATTTAGCCAACAACCTCAAAAGGAGGCTAAGTTGATCTCAAAGTGTTCTCTCCCATTTATAACAAACTAATCTTGACACTGACTTGAGTGTCAATGGAGACATAACAAACTATTGCAAAAAGAGTTGTATACAATTTGAAATGATCCATTTTGGTTCCTTTTAGCTGCTCAAACAGCAGCTGACTGACCACCTGGGGTATCTGGTGTAAATGAAGTCATCTCACTAAGTTTCTGATTATTCTCATTCTTTACCTTTCCCTGAGCTGAAAACTCCAAAACAAATAAACAGGTTATTTTTACTAATAGGTTAGTGTTCTCAATCAGAGTGCTCAGCAGGGGAGCAGGCGTTAAGGCAACATTCAACCAAATGCCTCTCACTTGATAGGGATCAGTGACAAAAAGAAAAAAGAAAAGGCTTTGTTCAGACAGGTGGTATAACCTTTACTACTGCCAACAAGTAACATGGGCTACTACCTCAATAACATCCAGTAGATACTCAAATGCCAAAGTACTGAATGTCCCCATTCACTAAAACATCTTGAAAATGTCTTCCTTGAACAGCTGTGCAATACAGATTTCACAGAGCCATTCCATAACTGGAGTAAAAGGATTTACTCAGATGTTGGGTCATTCGACGCTGATTAACCCAATCCAGTTTATTCTTTCTCCTTGATCTTATAGCAGGACTCGGAGAAAACCATAGCCTTCTCATGGTCTGGTCCAGGAGTCAGTCCATATAAATGAGTTACAGCTTATGCCTTCATTTGATCAAGAAATACAAAACACAAACACAGAAATACTATACTGGCCTTAAGAGCGCATTACATTAAGCTTCCCTGATGATTTCTGTGGCATTACAAATGTGAGTTCTTTTTCCTGTTTTTCTTTGGGGGATGGAGTAAGTGGGTGGGGATAATGGGGATGAGCTGGACAGATCACAATGAAAAACACTGATGTCAAACTAATGTGTAATAGTCAGAATGTTAAACATGAATATAGCCTCACCGTTATGAATGCCTGATAACTAACAACACCCACATTACAGGAGAGCCAAAACTTTCAGGTATCAATGACTGGTACTCTCAGGTGATAACCCTGTGCCCATTCAATAATCTAGGGGATGAGGATGCTACTTATATATATGTTTGCTGTTTCAAAAAATCTACTGCTCTGGCCCTGAAAAAACATATGGTAGTAAATTATTTCCTAGCAGACTCTTAGGCAAGTTCCTTAGTGTTACTGATTTGATATGAAGGTTAACAATTAATAGATATTGACTCAAATCACACATGAACCATGCCCCTTCCCCTCAAAACCGTATCTGTGATTCTCACAAAGGTGTGTTTACACCTAGGCCACAGGGCAATCCATTCTGTAATTCTAGTTCAAGAAAGCTTCCTAAAATACTAATTCAAGAGGAAAATGACTGTATCAACTATTAAGTCACAATGATGCATTTTTGCTTCCTCCAAAACTTTGTTTTAGGCACAGATGAGATGAAGAATTGTGAAAACACTATCTAAGGAAGTAGGTACAAGTGCTTGAAGGACCAGAAGTCTTTCCAGCCAGGGGATAGGTCCTGTGAATTTGCCTGCACAGTGGGTACAGAAAGTGTAGGTGAGGAAGAAAAACTGCTGACAGGCATCTTGGATGACTTGGCATGCAGTCAGACATTCAGAATGCTGGGATGAGAGACAGCACATGTCCAAAACAGTACTATGCATTTACCAAGAAAGAGGAATGAATCAAACAAAAACAAAAAACCCCAAAAGAACACAAAAACCCGCAACGAATTCCAAACATCTCTCTTCCACAGGAGGATTGGGAATTTTCAGGTGCAGCAATCATTGCCAGCAATGGATGCCCTGAAAAGAGCAGGATCAAGGATTTAAATAATAAGATGGTCGAGACACTATATTAGACAATATCACCATCCACAACAGAAGAGCTATTTATAATCGGTCTCGGCTCTGGGTTTCAAAATTTAAATGCAGATATACAAAACATATATTTTAATGCTTATTAATCAGCAAAGAACTTCAAATACATCTTTTACTACAACTAGATAACATAATTTCAACTAAGGCTATACGGTAGCCTCTGAATCTTCATCTGAATTTCTGCAGTTACTGCTTTTCCTGAAACCCTTCCACGTGTAACCCATGAAGGTTGGGCTGATGGGTAAATAGCTAAAGCATCGGAATTTCTTGATAATGTTCATGCCAAATGGCAAATCATAGGATTCCATGCCATCGAGCGATTTACTCCCTTTTCCAACTCCTTTCTTCCATTTCCGTATTCCTCTTTCTTCTGGAGTACCTGTCAAAAAAACAGGATGAAACACAAAATGGGGAGAAGGACCCAAGCGGGAAAAAGAAAAAAAGAAACAAACATGTTAATTTAACAGCCTCGTTATGAGGAACACAATTCTGTTTTAAAGAAAACTGTTTCATAAGCAAGGCAATCCTGGAATACATATCGCCCTTGAAGCAAAGAGTCTGCTTTGCTCAGATCTGCTCAGGTTCTGGCTTAATAAGTCGACAGAATGCTTTGCCAGATAATACCTTGCCCACCTGCTACTGCATTTGATGTGATAGAAAGAACAAAGGATGCAGAATCAGAAAGACTGGATCTGACAATTCCAGAGGCTGCACTCGAGGGCAACGTGTTTGATCTTTCTGGACCTTGGTTTCTCTTATGTAAAATAAGGGATCAAAATGCTGCCTGTGTCAAATGGCTATTGTGAAAAACACTATATAACTGTGACTTGTTACTATGGAAAGAGCTCTGGATTCAGAATAATGAAAGTGGGGTTCTTGTCCTTGATCTGCCTCAGTTTCCTTACCTGTAAAGTGAGGATTATTGTGAGAAATACCATTAAAGAAAATTATATGGTACTTATATGATCCCTTCTAATAAGGGCAGCTGGTTAGAATTTATGAGAATGATTCAAAGACCTTCTAGTATGAAAGAAATCTAATCCAGTCTATCTCTGAAAAAAGGATCTTTACTCCAGCCTATGCCACAAGAGGTAATCCAGGCCTGTCTTAAAGGAGAGGGAGAGAGGGAGAAGGTGGGGAGGGGGAGAGAGCGAGAGAGAGGGAGCATGCTCCCAAGGCAGTGCATTCAGCACACATAAAGACATCAGAGTTATACAGTTTTTCCTGACATGTTAAGCCTAAATTTGCCTCTGCAACTTCTCACCATTGCTCCCCAAAATGGGATCTAAGATTTCCCTAGGGAAATGGGGATGGGGAAGGAAGAGGAAGAGCTTCATTAAAATGGTCACAAATTCACAATTGTGCCAAAACAAGGCTTCGCTTTCTGTTAACAGTAGTTGGTTGGAAAGGGACAAAATAATGAACACAGGAAAGGGAGCTAAAGGTTGTGACCTCATGGCAAATGGCTATCTTTGAACTGACTGGTACCAGATTTTACAGGGCCACAGATTTTCCAGCATGTTCACTATTACAAATATTTTAATATTTCCTTTATTATTTAAATTATGTATAATTAATATTTAATATGATAATAAATATTCATCACTAGTACTATAAAAAGTAGATTAAATAAAAATAAATATTAGCACTTACCTGGGATGGTGTTATCCAGAACAAAAGCGACACATCCACCTACAAACATTGCTGTGGTGAGAAGGACGTTTAACACTTGATCAATTCCTGTAATCCCTAGAAAAAGAGAGGAAGAAATGAGGGATTACTGTCCGTGGACAGTAAATGCCTAATTTGGGTTTATGTGGCCTTATTCCATGATAAGAAACTTCATCAAGACCAAAAATTTCGGTATTTCAGCTAGACAAAGATTTGCTCAGACAGATACTGCTTATAATATTTTAGAAATACTATTGGTATATTAAAAATAGTACAGTAAAGAAAGCAGTAGATTGGGAATGAGACCCCTGGGTCCAAACCCAAGCTTTGCTCCTAACTGCACATCGTCAATAAATCACTACCTTCTCTGAGTCCAGTTTTCCTCTCTGCAAAATGAAGGAGCCAGATAAAATCAGCTCAAAATTCTATGACCCTCCATGATCAAACTAACAAAAGATTCCCAGTTAAAACTGTGTATGACATACAACGGAAAATTGCTAATAAGGGGCATGTGCAGTTCTAGTTGTACACTAAACAATCTCTGCTCAAAGCAATGGTGTGACCATCAAAAACCAAAATACTTAAACTTTCAAAAGTGCTGGGGTGCTGTTTTTTTTTGGGGGGGGAGTGGGGTAGAGTGGGAGGGCAGAACAGTAAATTAGTATTTATATATTAATTATATGATATAATATATAATTATGCTATGTTACATATAAAATAATATAATTACATATAAATTATTATTTAGAAGTAGAAATCTCATTAAAAAGATATTTGGCACCTTTGGCAAACAGGACAGATAAAATTTTGAAAGTATCTGAAAAAATGGATAATGAAAATAAAAACAGAAATCTGGTACAGCCTGCAGGCTACCAGTGCAGTCAGTCAGTCAGTCAGTCATTTTATGTGTTCCTTTTAAATCCTTAATTATCATTTGTTTCTAACTGGAGAAATAAAGTTGAGCATCACCCAAAGGTCAATGAAGGGATGCACAGTGGGTGCAAGAAGGCTCTAATACATTATAAATTATGAATTATGCAGATGAAGCTGTGCAAATGATTTTGTCAGAGAAATACATCACTGGAAAATTAGATGGGTTGGCCATACAGCAAAAGCAAGGAATAATCAATTGATGGCTAGCCTGCACGCTCCAATAAGTATCCACACAGTGTCAAGAGAACATGAGGGTGGCCCCCAGCACACTGGATGGACAACTTTCCACTATGGAGTATTTGCAGAACAACACAAACAAGGATTGCATGAATACTGGCATAAGCATGGAGGGGTTGTAATTTGCATCACTGGAGGGAGTATCCACATGAACAAGGTCAAAGATCTATTCCACTGGAGCATTAATGTATAGTTGGTGTAGATACAGCACCTTAAATAAAGACTATAGGATCAGACTATCAGAACTAAAAAGAATGACAGACCATCTAGTTCAACTGTCTCATTTTCAGTAGTAGCTATTAAGGTTGATCTTCCTTTGGATTTTTCTTCTTATAACTACAAAGGATCAAGACAGAGATTTAAAAAACTGAATAGGCCTGACTGTAATCCAAATAATGTTTCTTAACACAGCTGAAATGCCAAAACAGAAATTCATTAGCAAATATTTAAAGTAGTTTCAAAAAGACAGCCTTACATTTGGCATTCTCCAGAAGAGACAGATACAGAAAGAAACAGATTCTTGATTTATATGATAATTATGGTGACAAGCTGGATTACATTTGAACTTTTAGACTGTGTGAGGTTACTGCTGACAAATACGCATTCCAGAGGCAAGTGTTACATGAACAGACAAAACATTTCCTATTAAAATATAAAGTAGACTGACAGCTAGGCTATAACTCAAATCTCCATAGAGAATAAAAGTGTTTCTCAATACCTGTGACTAGTGGATTCTGCTTGAGGTAACTTGGAAGAACAAGTCCAAAGAAAATGGAAAATCCAAGGACAAAGAGGTTACGTGAAGAATTTAAATCTATGAACTGAAGATTCGACAATCCAACAGCAGTGATCATTCCTGAGAAGAGAAATGAACAAACCCAGGACTTGCCACCTCCCTCTACAGTGCGTGCACCTTTGTACAATCACTTGAAAGGCAATCAACGATTTGGGAGGGAAGAATGTAATACCTACTACATGCCAGGCACTGTCCTCAGCACTTCACATATAGTATCTTATTTAATCTTCACAACTATGAGGTAGGTGCTATTATTATCCCCATTTAACAGTTAAGAAACTGAAGAAAACAAAAGGTTAGGTGACTTGGCCAGGGTCACACAGCTAGTAAGTGTCTGAGATTGGATTTGAACTCGTCTGAGTTCAAACTCTGATTCCAGGCCCACCACTCTACCCACTGAGCCACCAGTTGCCAAGAATTCAATTTTTATCACATCATCATGTTTGTTTTGTTTTTAAGGAGTCAACATGGAAATATATTGCATAATATAAATAACAATGAAATTATAAAAGACATGGAATTGCATTGTATTATTCTCTTCCCAGATTTGCAATCTGCTAGCTCTGTGAGCTTGGCTAAGTCACTTAACCTATCTGATCCCCAGTTTCCTCATCTATAAGTTCAAATAACAATACCTGCATTATTTCTACCTCAGAGTTGTAAGGCTCAACTGAGAAATTAATTGTAAACTACTTTGTAAACTATGAATTGCTATGTAGGTATATGCTATTAATACAGTACTACAAATGTGTACTACAAATAATATTCCATTGTCTGAGTAGAGTATCAGTGGTAATCTGAGGTCCTACATCTCAACCCAATACCATAAGAGTAACCTCAGAGACCTACAACCTAAGCTTAGAAGGGTTCTCTCACTGAGCTCATATGACAGCACTCTATATAATCAAACATAAATGACTTTTGAACTAAGAACTTTTGGACCGATTATATACGATTTTCACTTCCGTTATTATGGACAAATAAAAAGTGACTATAGTTCCTTTAAAACAGAAATCAGAGCCATCACGTTTACATGGTAAATCTTGAAACTGCAAAACATGTCAAAATATGTATTACATACCTACTTCTAATAATTAGGTCATCCTTTTAAAATGAGACAAGTCTTGCTGCGGAAAAAAAAAATTGGCCTGCCTTAAATGGAACATTTTTCCTTGGAAGTTTCAGCATTTCTATTTTACAAAGTATTCCTGTTGTGGTTATGACTTAGCCTAAGTTCTTCTTCCTAGCTCTAAAGCTGTGATTTTAGAAGTTACCTGCCTGGACATATCGAAGTGGGCAGTTCAGTGTCATCTTTAGGAAAAGAGTCATTTAAAAATCTCACTGAAGCCTTCAGAGCTTTGAACTAGTCAATGTGTAGAAAGAAAAGGTCAATGAGAAGACAGGACAGGACATAAACAGGGTTTTACCAAAGAGTGTGCAAAAGAGGGCACCAAGCACAGGGTCTGGAAGGGATGCAAACAACGCACTGAATTTCCCTATCATCCCAAGCATGAGCATTAAAGCCGCGCCATACTGAATGACTCGACGACTTCCAACCTATGAGGCAAAATAAGAAAACGAGAATTAAAATGTGGGAAAGTCTGTCATCTAACAAAATATTTTTTCTTTGAAGATATCCTGTTGCAAAGAGCTACCAGAAAAACAGCTATTCCACAGCAACTGATTCTGCTTCACTTAACAACTTATACCATTAAAATAAAAATAGAGGGCAGCTAGGTGGCACAGTGGATAGAGCACCGGCCCTGGAATCAGGAGGACCCGAGTTCAAATCCAGCCTCAGACACATAACACTTACTAGCTGTGTGACCCTGGGCAAGTCACTTAACTCCACTGCCTAGCCAAAACAAAACAAAACTAACTAAATAAATAAAAATAGAACAGTTTATAGATGGTATATATTTAGTCTGCAAATAGCATAAACTGTTTTTCAGATTCCCAAATTTAAGTCACTTACTTCAAACTTAATAGGCAGGATGGTACAGGGACAAGAACTAGACCCATGCATGAGTTTGCTGGTACTGAGAAATCCCAGACGAGGAAACTCTCTTTACCAATGCAGACTGGAAAGTTCACTGCAACTGAAAGTGTCAGTGAGAGAGTGAAACGACCAATTTGCCCATGGTCATGTGGCACTCAGTATGTGTTAAGAGGGGGAACTTGAACCAGATTTTCCTGGCTTTGAGTCTGGCTTTCTGTCTCTACCTCATGCTGCTGCATCTCTGGCTACAGTAGTACACAGAAAACTGGATTGGGAGTCCAAAGCCCCAGGCTGCATGTCTTAGATCTGTGAGACATTAGCTGCATAACCAGAACAAAACACTGCACCATCCTAGAGTTCAGTTTCTTAGCTTGTAAAATGAAATTAAATTAGATGATATCCTCTCTCACTCTAAAACTCAACAATTTTATAAGTATTTGAAGAAAAGCCCAGTACTCTAAAAGAATGCAAATAATTTTCTAGGATTTGATGTGGTAAGAATGTTTATTCCTAAGCCCACCTGCTGAGTACTTCACTGAATTCTTGTTTCACATTTCAGTCACTTCACGTACAGAAAGATGCCCTTTATGCAATAAGCCTACCAAGCTTATTTTATATAAATGCAAAATATTCTAATGTACCAACACATAACTAAAAGACGTATTACCTGACAAGCCTAACCAATGAATAAATAAGACTACTTTACCCATCAACTCTTGACAAATAGGTAGTACTTTCCTAGCTAATTTATTTTCAGTTACTGAGTTTGATTATTTCAGATTCTTCCTTATCTAGTCTCTCTTTTATCTACTTTTCTAATCAGTTTCAAATGATGATCAAATGTTTATAACAGTTTGAGGTCTAGAAGCCTTTGTTAGTCACCTTCATTCTTACCATTTTTCATTACTGTCTTTGACATTCTAGATCTTTTGTTCTTTCAAACAAATTTTGTTATTTTGTCTGACTCTATAAAGTATCTGGCTGGTAGTATGAACAGCACAGCACAAAATCTGCATATTACCATGGGTAGTATTGTTTTTCCTACACTGGCACTGCCCAATCATGAACACTGAATACCTCTCCAGTTTTACTTAAGTCCTTATTTATCTGTTTAAAGAACACTTTGTAATTGTATGTATATAGGTGCTTAACTGTGCTTTGGTAGAATGACTTCCAAAAATACTATCTATTTTATAGTTATTTTAAAACAGGGCTGCTTTTTCTGTTATTGTATCCTGGATTTTGTTTTGCTATACTGAAATGTACTCAGCTCTTGATTAGTGTAAATAACTAATACTGTAAAGTAGTTGCATTATTTAAATTTTCAGAGCACATATCCATTAGGCTGGAACCAATGACCACATTTTTTACATAATTTTAACTTTGATAGTATTAACTCAAATACATTCAACTATTTTACAAGATTCATTATTTGCACTAAGCACTAATTAAGACCTAGCTGAGTTATTACTTTTTCTGAGTTTATTCTGCAACCTACAATTTTACTGAAATTGTCTAAGCTGGTTTATTAGTTAATACTCTAGAAATTTCTAAGTAAATTACAATGTCATCAGCAAATAAGGATACTTTTTGTCTCCTCTTTGCCAATCTATATACTTTTAATTTCCTTCTAGCTTTCCTGCTATTGCTAGGTGGGATTATGAACAGCTGTGTCTGCAGTTCCATAGGAAAGGTCATCAATGTATTTCCAATGATAAAATTTTAAACAACTGTGGGACATAACAACAGAGAAACTATTTTGTTGTATTACTAAACTGAGTCTGAAGCTAAAAGTCATACTGTCCATTATCTGCTTGTGAAAATAAAATGGGGAATGAAATCTGAATATAGTCAGAAACACCCTATAAAAGAAAATTTAGTCTCCTAGAAATGCCTCTAGAATAAACTAGAAGCCTTTAGGATATGTTGTAAGGTTTTTACATTTCTTCATTAAACATGTAACAGAAGCTTAAAATACTTACAATCAATGAACAAGAATTTATGGCACCTTCTGTGTTTTCAGGACTTACACTAAGCACTGAGGATACAAGGGCAAAAACTAGACAGTTTCCACTGTCAAGGAGCTTACATCTTATCAAGAGAGACAACATGTGAATCTGTAAGTATATGCAAAATACATACTAACTAAACCAAGGTGATTTTGGAAGGGAGGCAACTCAAAGCTTAGAAAGGTGGACAGGGCAGACAAGAATGGTCTTGTATAGGAGGAAGTTCCAAAGAGCAGTGTAGGTCTAAAGAGAAAAACAACATTTTCTTTTGGACACTTTGAGTCTGAAAAAAAAATTATATATATATGTATATGAGAAAATAAAAATAGCCAGTGGGAAAAGTTCAGTAGACAGCTGGTGATACTGCACAGGAGAGACACTAGGGCTATACAAATACACACACATGGAATTATTTGCATAGGAATGATAATCGACCCCACGGGAGTTAATGAGGTCACCAATAAAGGGCTGGTGGAGAAGTCAGCCCATAATGCAGCTGTGGGATGCACCCAGTTAGAAGGTGATCTATGAATGATGATCCAGCAGAGAAGACTTAAAAAGATTTATCATATAAGGAGGAGAACCAAGACAGAGCAATGTCTCACAAACACAAACAAACAAAAACGGATATAGAAGAGGGTGGTCAACAGCGACCAATGCTGCAAGCGTAAAGAAGAATGAGGACTGAGAAAGGCCACTGAGTTTGACAATGAAAGCATCACTGGACCAAAATATTCACGGCACCTTTTGGGCTAGCAAGGAAACAAGAAAAAAAAAAGTAGGCATTCATCAATTAGAAAATGACTAAATAAGCTATGGTACATGAATGTAATGGAATATTATTGCCCCATAAGAAAATATGAATATAAGAAACTCACAGAGGCATGAAAAGACTTAAAGATGATGAATAAACAAAAAAAAATCAACAATTTTTTAAAAATGTTAAGTATCATTGATAACTTTCAAGAGAGTGGTCAGATTAATGTGGTTGAAAGCCAGACTGCAAGGGACTGAGAAATGAATGAGACTAGAAAAATCAGAAACAAGCATAGGCAATTTTTCAGAGAGTTTATAAAAGCACAGGAATTGGACAACAATAATGTCTGACAATCATTTAGTACATTTAAGTTTTGCAAAGCATTTTATATACATTATCCAACTGATCGTCACATCCTATGAAGTAGGTGCTAACAACACCAAAAATCTACAGATAAGGAAATTGAGGCTCGGAATGATTAAGAGACTTCCCCAGGCCAGGCACCTAGTGTCTGAGGTGGGATGTTACCCCACTCCCTTCTTGGGCCTTTCTTGATTCCTCTAGCTGTTAGCCCTCCCCCCCCCACCTCTGCTCCCCTGATGAAGTCATCTTTTAGTTATTTTTACTTATAGTATCCTATATTTACTTATCTACCAACATGTTCCAGTAGGATATAAGCTTGTTGAATACAGGCATTGGATTGATTTCTCTTTGTATCTGCTGGTGTCTAGCACAGTGCTTGGCACACATTAGGTGATGGAGAGGAATATTTCACAAGAATTCCATAATCCCACCACCACCTTCCAATTTTTCAATGACCTAGAAATTTTGTTTACTGACTGATATGTATGTTTAGGCCCAAGATGTAAAAAAAAAAAGTCTGCTTTTGAGGAGTTCAGCAAAATTTCCAATATCAAATTTGAGAGGTTTTCAGAGGATAATCTTCCTTCTCACTTATAATCAGTAATGTGAGTCAGGGAAACGCAAAACCGTTTCCTGAAACAGTGCCACTGGTAAGAGTGGGCTAGTGTCCAAAGGTACGTGGAAGAGGTATCAATTAGCTTCGTTAAACAGAGCTGGCATGATGCCTTTTCAGTAATGAACTAGCACAATTCATGCTGCAATTGCAAGCAATTCAAAATTTTAATGAAGATAATTATGCCTACACTCCCTCAGTAATATTTAAGAATGAAGTTTTTGTAATATTAATGAGTACTAGTTACGTACTTCAACAGTCCTGGTTAAGTTACAAGGCAGAGTTTAAAAGGGGGTGTTGAATGACTACATTGGTAAAAGCTGAGGGACCATGTTGAAAGGGAGCTACCTTGTTAAAATGGCTCTGCCCAAGTCTCCCTTCTACCTATCAACAGTATTCCTAGATGCATAACTTATCATTAATTACCTCTTGAAAGGATGCTTAATAGATGACAATATGGAAGGTACATCATTTGCATGGTAGTTTCCAATTAATGGGAACCCCTTCCTCTTACAGCTGTCACATCATCTAAAAAACCTCTACTCTCTGATGTTCAAGGTTTTTGTTTCTCTCATACACACAGCAATACCAAAAACCTGACTTTAAGAACACCTCCAGTACCACTAAATTTTCTCATAATTAGTGCTGTAATAGAACTTTGTAACAAGCTCCATAAAAGAGAAAGAATCAGCAGATGGTGCTGCCTAAATGTTTTTATGGAAATTATTTTCCTCCACCAATCTGCTAAATAAATAAATAAATAAATGAATAGATCAGATGTGCAACACAATGTACTACAGAATGCTGTCCAACACCCTTATCTATTCTTTGCTCTCTCAATCACCCTGAATCACAAAGCAATATTAATCATGTTTATTTTATGGTACCTTCTCTGCCTCAGTCCTCTTGTGAAAGTAACTATGGAATCTCAGAGGCTGTGCCTCTGAGGTCCTACTATGCTGCAAAAGCTTACAGAATGATCCTGGAAATGGACTGCACATCTCTTATCATAGGACTAGCTTGATTAAGTGCAGAAAAGCCCGTGATCATAAGGCTGGCAAGAGTGATGAATAAGAGCTATTAAAAACGGAATGGGATGCCGGGGAAGGGACTGGGCTGGCCATCACTAGAGGTCTTCAAGCAAAGGCTATATGATCATTTGTTGGCTATTTCATAAGGGCAGCTCCTCTAGAGGGATAGGTTGGACTTAATAGCCTCTGAGCTCCCTCCTAATATGTTCAGTGATTCTACAATCCTTTTGGCCAGAGCCTCACAAATATTATATACTAAAGTTAACCTTTTGGCAGTCTGATGAAGACTCAAAATAATGTTTTTAAATTAATAAAATACACAGGATTACAAAGGAAACTGACTGTATTGACAGATAGTTATCAAAATGTCAAAAAAAAAAAAAGCTTCCAGACCCCATGTTAATAATCTGTGGTACAGATTACTGGCTCTAATCTATGCTGACGGAAGAAGAACCCACACTAACAATATGACTAACACTTTTGTGATATATTCAATGCTATCTACTGATTATGGAATCACAGAAGTTGAAAGCGGCCTTAAAGGCTCATTAGCCAAGTAAACTGAGGGCCATAGAGGTGAAACAACTTACCCCAAATAAGTTATTTAGTGGCCAAGACAGGATTTACAAAATGCCTCTAAGAATACTGTGCTCCAATGAATCCAGTCTTCGGTTCACTTTTATATCTACCCATTACATGTTTCCACATGACATAAAGAATGACCCAATTAAAATTTCTCCTTCCAAGAGCATCATTTGTAAAATGAGGGGATTGGACTAGATGACCTCTGAGGTTCCTTCAAGCTGTAACAGCCTGAAAATGATGAATCTAGATAGTGGCTATGATGGAAAATTATGATTAGCATCACTGATCCCAATATCATTCCCTAAAAATAAATTATCTATAGACTCATGGGATGTTAGAGCTGGGAAGGATGTTATAGACCATCCAGGTCCCAACATATACTACCTCCTCAATTTAACAGTATGGAAAGTGAGGAAGGTCATAGATCACAGGATTACAGCTGAAATGGTTCTTAGAGATCAGTCATCTAGTCCAATCAATCTCATTTTTACAGATGTGTTAACTGAGGCCCTGAGAGGTCATAGAGGTAGTGACAGAGCAGGGATCTGAACCTACTTTCTCAAGTGACTTGATCAAGTTTACAAAGCTAACTCATGCTACTTCCCTAGTTAGAAACTGCCTTCTGAAAAATATTTGTAAAAATCTCTTCTTGTGCAAGGTGTGGCGAGGCAGAATCACATGGTTGAAAAAAAAAGGACTGGGCTTGGAACTAGAAAACATGAGTTTAAGTCTGATCACAGAATCACAGAATTTTATAGGCTCTTACAGGCATGTTAGTGCACCTTCCTGGGCTTCAGTTTTCGAGGGTGTAAAATGACAACATTGGATTAAAAGTTTAGATAACATTTAAGGTCACGTCCTGCTCTAGATTCTATGAAACCAGGAAAATTCAATTTATAAAAGCAAGGGTAAGCAAAAAGCACCATTGGGAATAGCAGTTACTTGGTTTACTAAAGGAACATTTAGGATAAAATGTTCTTTTTCTAAAAATGAACTGTAATAATGTGGAAGATAAATATTTTCAGGAGAGGTCTCACTGTTTTGGTAGCACATTAAGGAAAAGGGCACATTATAAGGTATGCCCGTGCCTCTACTAGATCTTTAATAATAACAATAAAAAGCATTAGATCTTTTTTCCCCCTACAGGGAAGCTAAGGATAATTTTCTCAGTTCTACTTCAAGACCCATCAAAAAAATAAAGATACTGGAGAGTTCAGCCTTTCAGAATTCAAAATGTTCAGGGAGAAGACTGCAACAAAATACACCTACTAGCTTGTTAACCAGAAAAAGATGTGTACCTTAGTAATTCCTAAAACTCCGATATTGGGACTTGATGAAGTGGAGCCGTTTCCAGTACCAAACACACCATCTAGAACACAGGATAGTCCCTCAATGAAAATCCCCCTACAATGCAAAGGAGGCATAAAGAAAAACAGGCTCATTTTACAGGCAAAATATTCTGAAATCCTAGAACAAAAAACATTGTACACAAATGTTTAAAATTTTATACTGAATGCAAACTGACAATTTCTCTACATCCAAGGTATGTAGCTAGAAAAGAAATCCAATTTTCTGAGTATATGTTAAATTCAAAATGGAGGGTAACAGAAAATATGTAGCTGACAGAAATAACCTAAGTCTAATCACTTCTGGAAGAGTATACTGAATTTTAATCTTATAAAAACCAATGATTTTTTTTTGCTTTTTGGTGAGGCAATCAGGGTTAAGTGACTTGCCGAGGATCACACAGCTAGTAAGTGCCAAGTGTCTGAGGCCAGATTTGAACTTAGGTTCTCTTGACTGCAAGATCTATCCACTCTATCCACTGCACCACCTAGCTGCCCCTCCAATGATATTTCTTAAGAAATCTTCTAAGCACTAAAAATTATAAGCAATAAAATCCAAGCAACTTCGTGATCAATGATGTCTTTTACTTTTTTTAGAAGATGTTTTATTCACTTTTGTAAATTCTTGCTTTCTTTTCTTTATCATTTTCCTTGTCACTCAAGTCTTCCTGATCCTCCCATGCTGAGCTAAAACACAGGCTGCCCTGAGAGACACTGAGGGACAAACCTGAAGTTAGGACAACCTGGAGTCAAGTCCTGTCTTTAACTTATCACGCCTGTTTGAGGCTGGGCAGTCCAGTAACCTCTGTGTCTAAAACACCTCACTCGGAGACTACGTTACAAAAAACAGTTACTGATCTGCTTCAGGAGAAGGGAACTCTGTACACTGATGAAATCACAGGCCTGGGGGTAAAGAAGAGCTCTTTATAGAGGATTTACACCAGTCAAATGTTCGTTAACAACAGTAGGTCATGCCAAAATGACATAAAGCCAAGGATATGAAACTGGTTCTCCCCCAGCCTTTCTTCGACTTCCAAAGAATTAAGGCAAGATGCAATCATTTTTGATGAACTGAATCAAAGAGCTGGAAAGGATCTTGGAGGTCATCTACTCCAACCCACACACCTAAACCAGAATACCACTCTGCAATCTACCTGGCAACTAGTCTCTTAGCCTTGGCTTAAATACCTCCAGTGACAGGGAATCCATGAAAGGAAGGCCTTTGTCTGTCAGACACTTACCTATTTATTGCATGAATGGGAGGTGGCGGGGCACAAGATAATCTTGCACAGGCGTAATAATCACCGATAGATTCAATAATACTAGCAACCACTGCACTGAGCATTCCTATAACCCCAGCAGCTGAGACAGTTGGAAGTCCCCACTGAACTGCGAAAGAAAAAAACAAATATGAAATCATTGGCTGTCTCAGACAGGCAAGCTAAAGTTAAAATGCTTAATCCTATAAATAAAGTGAAGCTAAGACAGAATTATTCAATAAGGCAGGGCACTGAAATTGTTATTCATTCCATTAAACTCGTGAACACCCATAGAGCTATTTGATTTTTAATCCAAGTTCTGGGACTCACTGCTAATTCAAATGAAGGGGGCTATAATTGGAACTACTTTGCATATGTTTTTACTTAAGAATAAACTGTTTGGCCAAAAGAGAAGCTTGACAATTCGATTCAATTTATGTTACTTAAGTACCTGCTACTTGCAAGGCACTGAGATGTGTGCACAGGGGCACACAAGGCATCTACTCTGCTGTGGCTCCTAACTGCAACTGCCACAAAGCCGAGACTGATGGCTTACTTGTGCACCCTCACCCCGGTCTCTGTACTTAAGCACGGGAGAGAGAGGGAAGCTGCAGGTATATCCCCGGAGATCACTTGAGATTTCCATTTATCACAGAGTGACCATGAAGAGTAGCAAGGGAAGGGCCAGGTGAAGTTTGTCAGTATGGCTAAGCATTGAGGATAAAGAGTGGGGCAGGGTCCAGTGGGCACTTGAGTATCTTCTAACTGTTCTCCCTTGTGGGCTCCATGGTTCCTTCTTTCAAGAAGCTTAAAAGCAAGAAGGTAAGATAAGACACAAATAGGTCTGAACTAAAGAAACTCCAAGTGCATAGAAGAATAAAGCCAAGTGCTATGGAAAAACCTAAAAGATTCCTTCCATCCAGGGGGCTATCAGGAAAAAGCTTTGTGGAGGAGGTGACATTTGAGTGGGGCCTAAAGGATGGGCAGGATCTCAATATACCAACAAGGGATTGTAGTACCCTTGACAAAAACAGGGAAGTTAGTTTGGAGGAGGAGTAAGTTTAGGGAGAAAAATAATGATTTCCACTTTGTACATGTTGAGTTTGAAATTCCTACAGGATATCCAGGCAGAGATGTCAGGCATTCTGTCAGCTGACAATTACAGCCTGGCCCTCAGGAGAGAGGTAAAGGCTGTGTATATAGATTTGGGAGTCACCTGCACAGGCTGACCACTGGCGCTGGTGAGACTCACTGAGGTAGCTGGAGAAAGGCAGGGATGGAATAGCCTTCTGAAATCATGGCTGGCCAGGGACTGGGAAAAATTTAATGTCGTAGAACAAAAGTTCTTAATCATATTCCTCAACTTAAGAACCTCTGCTCCACTCTCCAAAGAATCTTGGGACAGATTTCAGGGGTTCTGTGAACTTGGATGGAGAAAAATTGCATTTTTATTTCAATATACTTGGATTCTATTCATTTCCCAATTGATTTTTATCTTTGGCATTTAGAACTGCCAAAGGAATCTACAACACAAGAAAAGTTTAAGAACTCCTCCCATGATGCATTAAATTGAGATCTTTTTCCTTCTCACACTAAGTTTAGCCATAGGAAAGCCCAGAGTTGAGATGTGGGGAGCAGGGCAGAGACATCAGATCAGAAGCAAAGGCAGTGTCATGAAGTGGCGACAGCGCTGGGCTGGAAGTTAGGAGACTTGAGTTCTGACCCTAGATATGCCAGTATGACTATGGGAAAGTTGCTTCCCTTCTCTTGGTATCAGTTGCTTATATTTAAAATAAGAGGGGGTGGAATCGATCCATCAATCAATAAGCATTTATTAAGCACCTACTGTGTTCCAGATGCTGAGCATGAAGATTACGATACACAATAGCTGATCTCTTTTGATCTTTTCCAGATATGAAATTCTACGTTATGATATCATACCAGCAGATCCCATATCTGACTCCTCATACAAACTCAGAGGTGACTCTGGTATAAACCATTTGACTTGTTAAGAATAAGATTTACCAATTTTGACATGGCAGAAGGATATGTTTCCCTCCCACAGGGAAAGAGAGTAAACTTTTTAGCTTTCTCTCTATTTCCAGTAGTCTTCAAACTCAGGTGGAGATGTGCTGGCAAATGTTTAACAACTCTCAAAAAAATGTAAATGCATGACATACTTTCACTTTTAATCTGCATTATTAGCATTTTTTCATTGCTTCCTTAAATCTAAATAATCAACAAAACAATAAATCAAGCCCTGATTTGCAGCATTTGCCTATTTATTTCACACTGCAAAATTTAGTAACTGATTCCGGTTTGATCTGGCTCTAGTACACCCCTGCCCCTCTGGGCACTAGACTCACAATTCCTTCCCTAGGCACAAAGAGGGACTACCACAGGCTGGAAACCTACATATACCCACTCACGGCTTAGGATATGGCGTGAACCCCAACTCTGCGTCTAGTTCCCAGTTGGATTGTAGATGTGTGTGAAGGCACCTACCTTCCCTTTCCAGCTTTGCCTCCCATTTAATTAGGAGGATTCTTCCATGGAGAACTTTGATTCTCCAGGTAGACAATACTGATTCAGGTGGTAGAAGTGGAGAACTGAGGGTGGAGGAGGGGAAGGGGAGGGACGGAAGTTGGGGAGCACAGAATGAACCTTACCCCTCTGGGGCTGGTAGCTGAAGGCAGGCCTGGTGATTTTATTACAAATGCTTCTCCTCTCAGGGTCTACCTATTGGAAATGAAGGTCCCATCTCTGGATATCTTCCCAGCACAAGCTGAGGGTATGAACTGCTCATTTCCGACTTTTCCCATACATCCTTCAATACAATATGACCTTGCCTATTGTCCATTTAAAGTTTGACATTGACTAGGAGAAGGCACTGTCAAAGTTCACAGGGACTGACCTCAAATTAAGGCTAGTTTCTTGATTTGCTGTACGGTACATGTTCCAGGAAGGGAGGAAAGAAAGATTGGTATGAGTGGTTAGGTGGAAGCACAGAATAAAAGGAGAGACTGGAGCCTTGTGGTGGGGCCTTGAACTTTATCTAGCAGGCCAAAAAACATTGAAGATTTCTGAGAAGAGAGGAAGAACAGAGGTGCTACCAAAGCCCCTCCAACCCATCATAGAATAATAATGCCTGAGGACACTCCACGAGGGTCATTACCTATAGATTAAGCCCATTCCACTTGTAGACAACTAGAATCATTATCCTTATACAGAGCAAAATATGGCACCCTACAACTGCTACCCAATCCTTGCCTTCGAGACCAAGCAGATCAAGTTTAATACTTCTTCCACATGACAGACCTCAAAATATTTTGTGACCACAAAGGTCTACAGTCCACATGTAGAGAAAATAAAATCAAAGGATATGTAATTATAATCTCAACCAAAATGAATGAAACATGGTATGGCAAATTACTCTTACTATAATGCCAACATTATCTTGCAAGTTCAATGCCATGGAAAATTAATAAATAGCCACACAGGATAAAAACTTTAGCTCTGGAAGGGACTTTAGAAGTGATCTAGTTCAATGCTCTCATTTTATAGAGGGGGAAATTGAGGCCCAGGTAGGTTAAGTGGCCAAAGTTACACACCCAGTGATTAGTGAGGCCAGTACTTGAACTGAAGTCCTTTGACCCCAAGCTTGGCTCTCTTCACTGTAGCACTCTTTATGGATTCACTGTAGGGAACTGAGCTTCTTACCTCATTTTAGTCCTAGTTTTGCCCCTTTAACATGACTGGTTTGGACATACTGCCTCAAAATCTTTTTTAAAAATTACTTTTGATTTTTTTTTCAATCAGTAAAAATCTGCTTTTTTGCCCTTCCCCCAAACCCCACCTCACCACCCAACCTGAGAACTAAAAAAAATAAAACATAAACCCAACCCAGTTACAAATATGTATAGTCAATCAAAACAAATTTCCACATTGGCTATGTCAAAGAAAATTGTCTCATTCTCCATTGTGACTCCTTTGCCTCTCTATAAGGAGGTGAGTAGCTTGTTTCATCATTAGTCCTCTGGAATCATGGTTGGCCATTACGCTAACGAAAGTGCCCAATTGTTTCAAAGTTGTTTGCCTTTACCATATTGCTGTCATCGTATAAATTATCCTCCTGATTCTTTCATTTCACTTGGCATGAGACATAAAAGTCTTCCCAGGTTTCTCTGACAGCGTCATCATTTCTTACAAAACAGCAGTATGTCATCACATTTATATATCTATACTTATTCATCCATTCCTCAATTTATGAACACCCCCTCAGATTCCCATTCTTTGCCAAAAGAATTTATAGCTCAAAAGAACTATAAATATTTTTATATATCCTTAGAGTTTGTTTTGCTTAGGATTAATCTTTCCCTTAATCTACCCTCCCTTTAATTCCTGCCCCCTCCTTCTCCCCTCTCCTTCTTAGTTCCCTGTTCAGTGAAATGAACATCAGTACCCAACTATATTCTCCCTTCCTTTAATCAGTTCAGATGAGTGAGGCTGAAGCACCAGCTGGTCCCTCCATCCTAGCCTCCTTATTTGTATAGATGGCTATTTGTGTACCCCTTCATTATGTGATAATTTCCCTCAATCTTCCCTTCCCTTATTCCCCCTTTCCCCCAGTGTACTTTTCTTCCCCTCTCTTTCCATTCTTTTCTTAATATCAAGACATAACTGAACCACTACTAGGACTCGTCTAATTAGACTCCCTCTGTGACCTCTTAGGAGACAAATGGTATGTATGCAATTTATTTTTTTATAATAAATTACTGTTATTCATTCATGTTTATCTTTTTACATTTCTCTTAACTCCTGTGTTTGAACTTTAAAGTTTCTAGATGCAGCTTTGGTCTTTTCAAGAGGAATGCCTGAAATCTTTATTCATTAAAGATTCTTCTTCTCCCCCTATAACATTGTACTCAGTTTGTTTTGCTGGGTAAGTTATTCTTGGCTGTAAGATCATATCCTTTGCTTTCTGGAGTTATCACTTTCTTAGTTCTCCATTCCTTTTTAGTTGTGACTACTAAATTGTGTGTGATCCTAACTGTGGCTCCTCAGTACTTGAATTTTCCTTCTGGCTCCCTGTATTATTTTTTTCTTTGACCCAGAAGCTCTAGATCAGGGGTGGGGAAGCCACATGTGGCCTCAAGGCTGCAGGTTCCCCACCTCTGCTCTAGATTTTGGCTATAATGTTACTGAGAGTTTTCACTTAGGAGTTTCTTTCAAGTGGTGACTGGTGGATTTATTCAGTTTCCACTTTCCCATCCGGTTCTAAAAGATTTGGGCAGTTTTAAAATTTCTTGAAATATCAATTATTCAATCAATAAACATTTATTAAACATCTACTATGTGCTAAGTCCTGGGAATACAGAAAGAAACAAAAGACAGTCCTTGCCTTCAAGGAGCATACCACCTAGTGAGGAAGACAATGTGCAGACAAAATATATACAAAGCAAGCTATAAATAGGATAAATAGGAAATAATTAACAGAGGGAGGGTACTGGAATTAAGGGGTTGAGGAAGGCTTCCTCTAGAAGGAGACATTTTAGTTGGGACCTAAAGGAAGCTGCAGGGGTCAGTAGTTAAGAGTGAAGGAGTGAGAGTATTCTAAGAATGGGGGACAGCCAGAGAAAATACCTGGAGCCCAAGATGGAGTGTCTCACTCATAAAGTTCCCATCTTTGGACTCATGGAACAGCCAGGACGCCAGGGTCACTGGCTCAAAGAATACATGTCAGACAGTGAAGTAAAAGAAGACTGGAAAGGTACAAGGGGGCCAGGTTATGAAGGGCTTTGAATGCCAAACAATGCATTTTGTATTTGCTCCTGAAGGTAAAAGAGAGCCATTGGAATTTGTTGAGTAGAAGGGATGACGTTATTGGACCTGCACTTCAGGAAAATCACCGTAGTGGCTAATAAGAGAATGGACTGGACAGGGCAGAGACTTGAAATATGATGCGTAGGTTATATTTTTGTCTCAACTTTCAGGCAGTCCAATGATCTGTTAATTTTTTTTCTCTTCAATGTGTTTTCCAGGTCAGTTGTTTTTGCTCTGAAACATCTATGGGTTTTTTTCCCTTTCTTTTTTTCCCCATCTTTTGACTTTGTTTTAATATTTCTTGTTGTCTCATGGAGTGATTGGCTTCTATTTGGTTCACTGTAATTTTCAGAGATTTTGCTGCTTGAGCAAGATTTTGTACCTCTTCAACCACACTACTAATTCTCTCCAATTCTTTCTTCTACAGCTTTCATTTCTTTTCCAATTTTTTCTTAAGTGCTCTTATTTCATTTATTAGAACATTGTTTAATTCTTTTGTTAACTCTTACTTCATTTCTTCCAGAATTCTAGTTCAATTTGCATCCAAGCTATGTTTTGCTCCAAGGCATTACTTGTAGGTGTTCTGAATCATTCTCTTCTGTGTCTGTGTCTTGAGCATCCTTTTTTGCTTGCCCATCCTTTACACAATTCCTGATTTCAGACTTCTTATTAGGGCTTGGTTCTCCCCTACTTCTGGAGGGAAGAGCTGAGCTTGTTCTATTGCTTCTTTGACTGTTGTGTTATTCCAGCATTTCATGGACTAGCTGGGAACATGCAAGCTTTCCGTACTCCCAAAGCAGTCCAAGCCAAGGTAAAGTCTGATTGCTGTCCCCCTAGTCTGAGCTCTGCAAGTTCCTGACCTGAGTTTTGGTCAGAGCAACAACAGACTGCCACTGGACTCAGCCTCCATCAGCCAGGCAGGAAGTTCTGCTGGTTCAGAGTGAAGGAACTACAGGGTGCCCTTTGGTCTAGGACTCTTTCCATGGTGATGCCTCTGCAGAGCGGGGTAGATGCTACATCTGAGATTCCACTCTGCTGCTGGCTGCTTAACCACTGCTGGCTACTTATCCATGTCCCCCTTTCTCCATGGACTGCCCAGGGCTTTCCTATCCAGAACACTGAGCAGTGAGTGACAAAGCTCCCAGTTGGCACCTGTCCCCACTGCAATGCCCTAGTATGGGTCTTGGACCTGCTAGACTGTGTACACAGCTTCTCCCTAGATGTTGGAGTGCTCCACACATGGGCATATTCCTGCCCACATTTGGAGTGCGCGATCTCAGTCCTCAGTGTCAACGTTAGCAGGTCTCCCTGTTCGTCTTCTTATGCCAACCTGGATCTGACAAAAGACTCACTGTGACTTTTTCTGGATTTCCCCATCAGGATTCAGTTTGATGCTGCTGCATTTTCTATGTCTTTATGGAGGAGTTTTGTGGATGGGAGCTCTGCTACAGTGCTTCTTGCTACTCTACTAGCTTCCCAGAAAGTCTTATTCCTTAATATAAACTTTCTGTTTCAGATGAATACAAGTGTCAATAGTGTGTGAAAATGTAAAGCAATGCTAATGTGAACGTCACACATGAGAAACATTTGAAACATTCACCATTATATGTCTGCTAGGCATAGATTAATATAGACTAGCACAAGAGCAAATAGCCATATTCAACAAAAATATAAGGTATGTCATACCATACACAAATAAGAAATATTTTAAGTTCAAAGGAGGAAAACAGATATATCCTGAAGTGAATAACAAAAAGGAATAACAGAACTAACTGAAGAATGGAGCAGTTAAAAGAGTAAGAAAGTTTTGTGAGCAAACCCATCCGACTACAGAGGAAGGTTTGTGTAAGGGAGTAGTTATAGACATAAGGTTAGAAAGCTCTGGCAGGACTAATTCTGTAGGGTCCTGAAAGGCTCTAAAAGGAAGGTTGAGTTTAGATTTCAGAATGTAAGCAGCGGAGACCCTCTGAAAGCATTTGAGTGGGAGGGAATTATAATAATGAAAGCTGAGTTTTTGACATATTAATCTTACTAAAGGGAGTAAAAAAATTTATTGGGAGAGAAGTAGTATTCATTTTAAAAATTTCTCACCATCTACTCCCAACTTTAAAGTATCTCTTTCAAAGTAATATTTCCTCAAAGTATACAAAAACTATAGCCTCCTATAGGGAAGAATAAATTGCCTACTTTGACCTAAATTCTAGAAAAAAAACCCTATTAATGCACTAGAGGTTATATTTCTCAAAACACTAGACATAAATCCAGACAATTCTTTTGCTGAGACATATGCTTACTAAAATTTAATCAACTCATCTATTATAATTTAAGAGCCACAATCCTCCCACTCATACTTGTTAGTTTACATATAATCATATCAACTATCCTTTTGCTATCAATAAAATGTGGAACCAATAATATTAATAATATTTGTAACAGGTTGGCACAAATGCTTATTAACCAATTATTCCTATGTACCTCAATATCCTTTGGTACCCTCCATCTTCTCTAGCCCTTCTCTGTTTATAACCTCCATCCACAATAGCCCACTAGTACTGCACGCATCCATAACACAAAACTTGCCTCATATGTCACTTATCACCTAGAGATTATAAATGCCATGATCTCTTCCACCAAAACAAATCAGTCCTTATCCTCTCCTCTCAAAGGTGTTGACAAGCTAATTTGAAAGACTAATACTCCCTGGTCATAAGGAATGGCTAGAGTATAGTTTCCATGAAACACATGCATTTTAATTGTCTTTCTTTAGACAATGTTCCATTTTTGTGGTCAAAATCTCAGTGTCTCCAGTGGTGAGAATTTCAGGTCATGAAGACTACAAATGATTGCTGCAACTCTTTCCCCCTACAAGTAGAGCCTGCACTGCCTTTAAACTGCCTTAAGTATACTTACATGGATATGGAACTTTAAACCAAGGTGCCACAAAAAGCACGCCTTGTCTAGCATCTGTACGAGCATAGAACCCATACTTTGTGCTGTCAGGTGGAAAGACATCTGTCACAGTGAATATGAAGCACAGTAACCAGGATACCAAGATAGCCAGGATTATCTGAAATTGGAAAGGAAGAAGACTATTCCAGGCTAAGCATATCAGTGGTTATTGGTGAAACATAGCTTTTACATGCTCTCTCTCCTTCCCTCTCCCTTCCTCCTTGCCCAACATGGTACCTTGCTATCAATAACTTTAATGCAGAAAAAACTCACAATGGTTTTAATGGACTTTCTTTTAGTGAAATTTCACTTTAAACACTTCACTCACCTAACTTCAGTTTTGTTTAAATGACAAATACCACCTAGTAATGAACATCTGTAAGAATGACTCAATTCATGTTTGTAAAAAAAGACTGGCTTAGAGCTAACCTTCACTAAGTAACCCCTTGGGGAAATGGGAGAAGTCTAACAATATACTTTTCACTGTCACTTTATTTTGAGCACTACAAAAACATGCTTCTCAAAGTTTAGAACTGGAGTATGTTATTTGGTTTATCAACACTGTGGACAATGACCATTTGTGTGGCTTACTTATTACAGTTCCATAACACAGAAATTTAAAAATCAAAATGGCCGTCATAGGTTCTCAAAAGATATGCATTGACAATAATTTTTAAAGTAAAATAGAAATTGATTACTTACAGGGAACATTTTGAAAAGCTGCAATTTGTAGGCAGTCCATCCTTTTTTGGATTTGTAAATTGGGAGAGGAAATTTAACATTTCTGGCATATTGAGAAAATAACAATACTAGAAAAATAGTTCTGGGGGAGAAAGAAAAATCAGTTAGGTTCACACACTGTCTACTGTAAATAATCCTTTAAGGTTTGACAAAAGCCACTAGAAATCAAATTTTATATTTTCTTCGGCTAGAAAATTACTGCATAGCTCTCTATTTGGTATTTGAGAAATTAGGACATTTTTCTGAAATCACCTCTTTAGGCAGATCTTAGAACAATCTTATCTAACGTTACTCGACACTGGAATAAAATATTACAGCAGAAGAGCTAACCAATAGATCATTAACTTGCATAAGTGGAGAATATAGCTCTGGTTGGACTTTGTGAATGGAAATATTAAAAACGCAGGAATCTACATGATGGAATTTAGGGAATATAAGGTACGCTTTAGAAATTGCTTCTATTTTGAGACTGATGTCACGTGAACTTTATAATACAAAAATGAAGAATGATAATCCAATCTGAAGAAGACAAGGAGTGTGCAGAAATTGTCTAGAAAAAGATTCTGAAACAAAATGAAGTAAATCTAAATCTTCTACCAAACTGAACGTTTTACCGTATGATAGGATATGAAACACAATCTTGTTAAGCTCTTCTCTAGTTATGAGTTCCCAGAACCTAGCTAGGCTCTGTAATGCCAGAACCTAATGCTCTATTATTCTACCCCTGCCCTGGTCCTATCCCCACCCCTCCCACTACTCCAACAAACACCTCCTCTTACCCCAAGCCAAAAGGTATCACTCACAATAGAATATTGTTCTAAAATTCCAGGTTCACTCTCAATCAGATTGAGGATGGGTTTTTGGTACTGCTACCCTCAAATTCTGTCTTAATCACTATCTAAGTAATTGATTCTCCCTCTCAAGAGTGAGAGAGGAGAAAAGATTTTATGAGAAATATTTTTACAATTGTGTCCTTGACAAAAATTGTGTCCCAGAAAAAAGAATGATTCAATATAAGATTATGTTCATCCTCAACATTCCTATGACTTTCTTCACAAAGTCACAAAACTAGTTAGAAGTAGAGCTAGGACTTTAACTCAGATCTCATGTCTCCTAATTAATACTCTACTAAACCCATGAGACTTTAAGTTAGACCAAGCAATTACTTTCACTAGCCTATCAAGACTTTTGAGAAGAACCTTTCAGTGGTTTTCTACTGATTCCCAAATAAAGGTCAATTCCCTCAGCCTACACTATCTTCAGAATATGACACCTCTCAGTCTTTCCAGTTTTTCCTTACACTATATAACCTTCTATAAGCTTTATATTCCAGTTGAACTGGAAGAACCTGCTATCCCTGCACAGGTCCAGCGCTAATCCACCCCCATGCCTTCTGCTTGGGTTGTTTTTTTTTTACCTGGAATGACTTCTATTACCTTTCTATCTGTTTAAACTCTACTCATGCTTCAAGGCCCAGTTCAAATGGCATCTTCTTCCATGAAGGTGCTGCTGATCTTCTGATCTCTGACGCTCTTAGTAACAATCTTTCCTGTTTTAGGCTTCACATACAGAATTTGGATTATACCTCTCCTATACACTTATCCTGTGTCTTTTTTGTTTCATAGTTAAGTATGTGTCATACAGCCATCAGACTATAAACTCTGTGAGGGCAGGTGCCATGCGTCACTTGTCTTTTATTTCCTCTATTGCCTAGTAAAAGGTTCTATGAAAAACAGACTTTAGTTACAGTAAGAAAAATAAAAAGATAAAAGCAAGAGAGGTAGTTATTGACTGAGGAACATTTAACTTATGACTAATATGTACATAAGAAAGGTCCCTGCTACTCCTATCCTCATGATGTTATTGCCAGAGCACTCACACTGAAGTTGTTAAAGTTCTATTCTTCAAAGGCTAGCTTAGATTTCAGTGCTTAAGGCTATCAATAACTATCTCTGGGGCAAGCATGCAAATTATTACATTATTCTTATGGGAAAATATATTCGGAGAGCTACAAACAATGGACTTGGAAAATAAACTTTTGGAACAGAAACATAGAAGTCATTGATGATTTGAGGACTGCCAGGTGGGTGAGCAAGAAATATTTCCTTTTCGATTTTAGGTGGTTATGGGTTTAATTCTGGCAAAGAGGCAATTCAACAAACATCTAAATTTCTGATAAAGCAAGATATATTAACTTTCCTATGCTGATAAGCTATTAAAATGGATGCACCAACAGTCAATAAAAACACAGATTCAGAATTAGAAGGGACCACAGAAATTATCTAGTCTAAACACCAAAGGAAACTAAGGACCATAAAATCCTTATCTGAAGGTCACACAGGTAGTTAAGTAGGAGAACCAGGATCTGAAGCCAGGTTCCTGACTCTAAATCTACTGCCCTGTCTACTATACAACACTTCCTGAATATATTTGTTTTGCTGCAATCAAACAACTTTCTATTTATTAACAATACTACAAAAAAAAATTATTTTCTACAACTGGAAGGAATTTTGCTTTACATATTCACTATTATTACTTTATTTAGAAAACAAAGGAGTAGTATCATCATAACAATATTCACATTTAAAAAAAAAAACAAGCGAGCAAGTGAACTTACAACATAGCTATGCCCCAGTGTTTCCCTGCTCTTTCTCCTGCTGCTTGGAAACCAGAGAGACCAATCAGGGCCACTGTTGGTGTAATAGTCAAAGGTCCGATATACTTTAGCAGAGCACCTGGCAGGCCAAGGAAGCCAATTACAACTTCTATCAATGAAGACATGATAATGGCACCCTGGATCTGAACCAAGAAATAAGAAAAGTCATTAGCAATTATTGCTATTCCCTTTCCCTTTTTAAATGCTGCCTTTATTCTTAAAAAAACAAACAAGAAAATCTGACAGTTATTTCCTAATTAAATAAATGAGATGTAAAGAAGCAATAAGAATGACAAAGAGAAAATAATGGCGTATTTTTTACCTCTCGTATTCTTGGATACCAGATATGCTCAGTATGCAATAATGTTGTTTCATTGGTAACTGAAAGATCTTGAAAACAAAAAAGGAAAGCATTTTATCTCAATATCTGGAGAAATGCTGCTTTAATATGATTCAATTAATTTCAGTATTTTAAAAGTTACCTCTGCTTTACATATAAATCTAAACCCACTGTTACTGATATCACAACAGTACGGCTCACCATAATGAGAGCTGAATTCATAGTATTAATATCAGATTAGTTAACTTGCAGGCAAAACCCTAATTTTCAATAAAGTAAAGGAATTATGGTATAATGCACTTTTCTGTCTTACATAAAAATCAACCTTTACAAGTAGCAAATTTAATTAAATTATACTATGTTAAACCATTACCTTACTGAATTCTTAAGGAATTTGGAAAAGAAACTAAGTTAAATGAATGAAAGTTATTATAGTTATAAAGAAAATAAACATTTATAGAAATTTACATCTACATATTCTGATGCATCAAAATGACAAGAGCACTACATATTCATAATTCCTTTGAAATAAAACATTAGCAAAAAAGTGTCTCAAACACTTCTCTATTACACACGCACATGCACACACACACACGCGCACACACACATACATTCATGCACTCTGATCTAACTACCTTTTCCTAAATCTGCTTGTACAGAAAACCTGAGTCATAGGTAAATTACACTCTTAAGAGAATAAAGATGGAAATGACTAAGACAAAGAAAAAAGTGGTAATAAAATTAATAAAGTATTTTATCTGAAGTTAAAGTATTTATAGTAAATATTCCATATATTATAATTCTACGTTAATTTTTAAAAAGCTTTAAACATATAATTTTTTCCCCTTTCAAAATGGAGATCTCATTTTACGGGTACATTCAACATAATATTTATTCATTTCGTGAATAAAATACATTTCTAGGACCTGAGAATTGGTAGGCAAGAAGAGAAAGGAAAAAAATATGCTAAGAATAAAAGGGCTGCAAGTCAGTATTGCCTTTTTTATTACTTAGTTCAGAGAGTATATATTTTGAAATAACATTAATTACCTGTAGTATTACATTTCCATTTATCCAGTGACAAAATAGCTCGAGCTGGGGCCAAAAATGCAAAAGCACTGGCCTGAAATAGAGGTAACCTAAAAGAAATGAGAACAAAACCATAATCATAATACTAAAAACTTAAAATAAATAATAGTATGACTCAAAATTTATTTTCTAAAAATCCTAACTAAGCATATATTCTTTGAGACAGAACATATGAAACTAGAGGCATTCACAAAGCTAAGAACACCCAACATGCAAAGGTGTCATACCTGAATGAATGGTTACTGGCTGGGACCAACCCAAGCAAATCACACTGTACTGTCATCTGTCTGACAGTGCAGGTAAATGTTTGACCCAAATTTCTTCCTGATCACTATATATCACTTCCCTCATTTCTTATAAGACTCAGAGCCAGAAAGAAACAGAGAAATCTCACAGTCCAAGGCCCTCTTAGAATCACAGAATTTAAGAGGTGGAAGAGCTCCCTGTAGTCACCCAATTGAATTCATACCTGAAAAAGAATCCTCACTATAATAACAGCAAGTAAGTGGTCATAAGAGGGAACCCACTAGCTAAGGAAGGCTATTCCACTTCTGGTCAACGAATTGTCAGAAAGACAGCCCATGTCTTGAGTTCCCTGGTAATATTAAAATCTACGACTCTATACATAACTCTAATAAAATATATACATATTATTTGAAAAGAAATTTGGCAAAACAGAACAGATAAGAATTAGGAGGAACTGAACGATAAATCCAAGAATATAAAATATTTAGAAAATAATTCCCTACTTAACATAAGAAGATTGGCAGAAATTAGATTTGAATTAATACCTTACATTATATGCCATAATAAACTAAAAATAGTTATACTATCTGAATTATTATACCATTAAAAAATAGAAAAGAACCAGATCAAATAGCTAAATTTCGGTTAGAGGTTGGTGAATATAAAGATGTAATTTTTTTTTCCCTGTCCAAGTTCATGGACATGATAAAACCAATCCAGAAACAAAGGGGTCTGAACTAGTCAGACCACCTCATTTTAAAGATGAGAAAACTGAGACACAGAGAGGTTGAGTGACTTGGCTACAGTGACAAGAAATATTAATTATGAGAGGCAGGATGTGAACCCAGATTCTCTTACTTTAAAACCAATGTTCTTTCCACTATGGGGATGATGAATGAAAAACGAATCCTATGAAGTGGTCTCATTATTCAAACTCATACTGCATATTTCTGTTGGGATATAACCAATGACCACATTTTACAAAATTTTAACTTTGTATAATGAGAATTCAAATACTAATGACTCCTGTGAAGTGGGATTCATTCACAGTAAATGAGGTCTGTCTATAGATGATTAAAGAGAAGGGTAAAGAACAGATGGAGATACCAAGATGCTTTAGGAAAATCTGAGAGGAAAGAGATTGCTTAGCTGGCAAAAAACTTCATAGACAAAGTAACACCTAATCTGAGCCCTGGAGGAAGAAGTAGATTCCCAAAGATGGTTATGAGTACAGAAAAGACTTGATTCTGGGTGGATGTACCAGGATAAGGGGTATAGGGTGAGATCAGGGTTATCTCACAGTCCAGGATGAATAAAGAATGTAAAGGTATGAGCCTGGAAAGGCAGGACAGAGTCAGAATGGGCAAAGTCTTAAATGCCAGCCAGAGAGGTTTTGGAGCAGGGGAGTGTCATGATCCAACACAATTTTCTCCTTCATCTCAACTACGCCGTTTCTCTTAACCACTAACCTAACCCATTTCCCACTTGGGTACATCCCCTTTGACACAATTACTGAGTAGGCAGGAGGAGAATACACAGGTCTGTCAGAGCCTGAGCTTTTCCTTCCTCATTTTTTAGGCCTTTGTCATTAGTGGAACGCTGTAAAATGCTACACTAAGGTGAAGCTTCAGTCAAGGCCTAGTTGTGACCCTCCCTGAAAAACTAACATTCAAAAGTATAGTCTCTATAACACTGCAATTTTGTCATACAAAAAACTCATGGGATCAGAACACAGATGCATGCATGCATACACACACAAATTTCTGGGACTGTCCACACGTCTCTCAGTTTCACATAAAGACATGAAACAAGATTTATCTCCAAAAGTGCTAAAGCTCAGGTGCTTTTATAAAGGTAGTGGTAGAGCTAGCCACATTACTGAACTGCCTTAACCAGCAGAGGCTCTATTTAAGATCACAGGCCATAACTAATGTATTGTTGGTGGAGTCGTGAACTGATCCAATCATTCTGGAGAGCAATTTGGAACTATGCCCAAAAGGGCTATAAAACTGGACATATTTTGACTCAGCAATACCACTTCTAGGTCTATATCTCAAAGAGATCACACAAATGGGAAAAGGACCCACATGTACAAAATATTTATAGTAGCTCTTTTTGTGGTGGCAAAGAATTAGAAATTGAGGGGATGTCCATCAACTGGAGAATGACTAAACAAGTTGTGGTATATGAATGTAGTGGAATATTATTACACTATAAGAAATGCTTAGCAGGCAGACTTCAGAAAAACCTGGAAAGACCTGAATGAACTGATGCTGACTGAAATAAGCAGAACCAGGAGAACACTGTACACAATAACAGTTACAATGTGCAATGACTAACTTTGATAGATATATCTCTTCTTGGCAATGCAAGGATCCAAGACAACTCCAAAGGACTCATGATGTAAAATGCTGTCCACATACTGAAAAGAACTATGGAATCTGAATGCAAATTGAAGCATATTATTTGCTCTCTCTCTCTTTTTTTTTCTTTGTTTTTTCTTTCTTGTGGTTTCACCCATTCTTCTTTACAACATGACTAATGAGAATATATGAATGTATATGTAGAGCTTACATCGAATTGCATGCCATCTTGGGGTAGCGGGAGGGGAGAGATGGAGAGAAAATTTGGAACTCAAAATCTTATGGAAGCGTGTGTTGAAAATAAATAAATTAATTAATTAAATATTTGGGGAAAAAAAAAGAACACGGGTCATAGAAGTATGATAGTACTCTGGGTCCTACATCCAAATGCATCTTCATAACTTCTCTGGATACTCCTTTCCCAATGTCTAAGCTATCCAGCCAAGCTACCTTGCCACTTGCTTAGGCCAATTTTGAGTCAATATTTGGCAACCTAATGTTTCATGATAGTTCCATAGCATATGATCATAAACAGGGCCACAGTACATATTTCGTAAAGCTATAACATACAAACATTATCATAATCTTATGTTGCAATGACTAATTTTTATTTGGAGCAGCTTAACATCCCATATCTTACCTGCATCCAAAAGTTGTCTGTAACAAAGTTGTGATTCCCACACAGAAGAATATGGTCCCAATAAGCTGACTTGTAGCCCACTGGTCGTATCCAACACACATAGCATCAGCTAGCAAGAAGGGCACTGCTATGGTACCACTGAAACAGGTCAGATAGTGCTACAGGCAACAGAAAGACAAAGATTGTTTAAAAAAAATGCATATACACACATACATCCCACTTCAGTTTTATAATTCTGGCTCAACTCCCTGTCCCAACTCTAATTTTAAAATAATCTAGGGCTAATTCCTTTCAAAGTTTTGATTTTTGATTATACTATTAGAGGATGTTTAAACTAGGCTAACAATGCAGATTTTCTTGCATTTTTGTAAAATAAATAACATCTAAGTAGTCTTCCAGTAACATTTCCCAAAAAAAGAAGGTGGAGAGGAAAATTTGAAAAATATATTCCTATAAAAAATTGTCACAAAGTTAACAATAACCATTTATCAAACAATAGGCAAGTTATTCTTTGTGCCTCAGTAACCCCTTCTAGTTCAGTATGTTTGGAGGAATCAAAGATCATATACACAGGACTGGAGAAGATGATTTGTGACTGGGGATGGGAAGGGAGAAAAGAGAGCTTAGGGGGAGATGAAAAGACACACTATCATTTCACCTACCTATGTAACCTAAGGACCTCAGGGCCTTACCATCCACCTCACTGCAATACCCCTAGGACTTCCAGATCTTTCCACCTGCCCTACAGCAGTACTTTCTTTTATATCTTCACTTCCCCAATTGAAGTATAAACTCCTGAGAGAAGAGACCGTTTCAATTTTTCTATTTTTATCCAAAGCACTTCACACAATGCTTATAGCACAGAGTAAACACTTAATAAATTGTTTTCCTTTTTAATGAATTCATGGGAGATATCTGATTGGAAGATAGCCTTTAAAGTATTATTTTACTTTACTGAAACAAATGCTTTTTCATAACCAACACACATGGTAGGATAGTATATCCTCTACATCCTTCTATCAATTGCAAAACAATAAAGTATGGTCCAGCGTTGAATATTGCTTGCAAAAGCCTGGTTTTCCCTACTAATAACCTCATCAAAGATTCAGGGGCCTTCTATATAAATGACACAAATACTTTGCATAGATGGAAAAGTAGGCACATATCTCAGGTGTTTTTGACATTCTCTTGGTCATCTTTTCCTAGCATTATTTGAGGTGTATAAGATTTTTCCCCACACCCCCTGTGGCATCTTCCCAGCTTTCACACACCATGTGTATCACTCCCTCAAGTTCCTCACTGTCACCAGCAGAATGTATCATTAACATATACACTTGGTCCTTCACCAATTGTTGGTCTCTTTGGAGCCTTTTCTACTTCCCTTCTAAGCACAACCAGTACAGTGGCTCTACCATCCTTGATACAAAAAAAAAAAATTCGTTGTAACAAATCTTTGTAGATCTTTTCTATTTTTATTTTGTTTATTATCATCTTTCCACTTTCATCCTTAAATATTCTCATGGGCTAACTAAGGTTAGCTGGATGTCTTGCCAAGTTTTCTTTAAAGTAGTTTTATCTTCCACTTCTTTTCTATGCTCTATGAGTCAAATGATGATCAAAGTCATCCATCATCTTTTCTGTAAGATTTGATAAATGTGTTTACATTCTAAACCAACATTACCTTTGACATTCATTGCTCTTCATCTAGCAAATGAACCAAATGTTTGTTGACTTCACAGGGCTCAGTTCTTTTGGTATTCATGTTGTGGCAATTGATCTAAACTTAAGTTGAGTGGTATACAAAGTCCTGGACATTCAATCAGGAAGACATGAGATCAAATTCTGCCTCTAACACTTATAGCTGAATGAAGAAAGTCACTTAAATCTCTCTAAACTTCAGTTTATCTATAAAATGAGGGAGTTGGGTGTGACGGCATCTAAGGCCCTTTCCAACTCTTACAGCCATGATTCTTTGATTATAAATGTCAATATGATTTCAGTTATCCATTTCCCATTTTTCAACTGCAACCGTATGCCATTTTTTTTTCATCATTCTTTCTTCCAGAATGGAGTTGCAAAGGATGAAATGGTAGAAAATTAATATACACTATGTACACTCTGACTGACCTTCAGTATAAAAGTGGAAAAAGATAAGGACAACAAGGAATATTTGGGAAAGCATGGGTTAGGAAGGAGGAATCCAAGAAGCAAAAGACTTATACAGTACACTTTTTCCATAAGAGAAGAAAAAGACAATAAAAGCACTAAATCAAATCACCAAAAACTGAAATTAAATCTATTTTAGTCAATAGAAAACTCTTTAGTAATGTAGGAGCTATCCCTGAATCAGTTATCTGTGCATAGTCAGACCATGCACTTTGCTTCAGACAGAGATTAGAATTTGTAAAAAGCTAAAAGAATATTACTACTATCATTGCAAAAAGAAAGGAATCTGCCTACTTCTAAGAAAATCTTGTGCAATTCTTGAAATTCTGATTTTTTTTGTGATAATGAAGAGGAAAGAAAGGGCAATAATTTTAGAATGGAGCATTTGGGAAAAGGGAAGGTAGCAAAAACAAATTTTGCTCATTTCCATTATCAAACTCTTACCCTACATCACCTAAGCATCCTACTCCACCACCTTTTTTCCTTCTTAGAAGCAGTAGGATTGAGAGGTTAATGTGAATGAATTTGTAACAAGGCCAATGAAAGAGACAACTTATTGATAAATACAGACTTCATAGGGGAGGTTGGAAAGTCACTTTTCTTTGCTTCTTCATTTTCTTTTCTACACTCTTCTCAGCTACATTTCTTTTCCTTCCCTTTTTATTATTTGCCTTGCATCCCTATACTTTCTTTACATTCTCTTCCTTTCTTCCTCCAGCTTTTTCCATCCTTCCATAAATGTAAGAAATTTGCCATTTTATTAAAAATTTTGGCATGCCTAATTAAATTAAGCAAAAATTTAGAATACATACACTAATAAATTAAATAAATCAAAGCAGAATTTTATGACAATAGAAAAGGAAAACATTTAAGAAGTGAATAGTGGTACTAATTTCTAACCATATTTAAGAATCTTACCTGTAGCCCTAAGAATATACAGAGATACCAGGGAGGTACATCTTCTATTGTATAAATCATATCTGTTCTCTGGGGATCTAAACTTCCAGTGCTGTCCAATGTCTCTGCAAGAGAACTCTGTAGAATGAAAGAAGTAACTAATTAGCATTTTGAAAAAAATAAAACCCTTATTTTGGGTTAAAGTGGCAAAAGTTTAAAAGTTACCGTTTGACTACCCAAAAAAGCAGCAATAAAATAAAATAAAACCCATGACCTTAAATGTTACTATCAAATATCAAATCAATCCACAATTACCCAAGGGAAGATCATATATAAGAGCCAACCCTTAACTTACCATCTCAGAGCAACAATGTATTTACTATATCTGGAAAACTTTCTCTGGAAGTAGATGAACAATCTTAACCCACTTAAAGGTTCTGAATCCACTTCCCTGGTTTGGGATCAATGGTATACAACTTGCAACAGCAACACAGAAGCTGAACCATGTGGTAATCATTGTGAAAATACCAAGAGCAACGAACAGTTTAGAATGGTACAAAGAACACAGGACTAAAACACAACTTAGAGAAATATACTTGTGGGTAACAAATGCACAAAACTCCATGTGGTGCATTGGGTTCGAATCCTGCCTCAGAAACTATGTGACACTTTCCCCATTCAAAAATGATGAAACAATTACTCTGACTACCTACATTTTGGGGTAATTTGGAGGAAAACACTTTGTAAGCATGCTGCGGAAATGGATAATAGCAGATGGACAGTTTAAGCACTAACTGTACTGACAGTCATGAAACATTAAAAAGCCCAGGGAAAGATCACCAGCACGCTTGGAACATCTTCTATAAAAGATCTGTATTTGGGCATGAGGTGCATGCCTGTATCCCTGCTTATCAGGGAGACTTGAGACTGAAAGATAGCTTCAGCTTGGGAGTTCTAAGCTGACTGGATGCTCACACGAAGTTAGGCACCAATATGGTAAGTCCCGAAGAGCAAAAGGTATGAGGTTATACCTTTGCAGGACCACACTGGCCCAGAAAAGAAACAAAGCATGTCAAAACTCCCATGTTAATCAATAGTGGGATCAGGCCAATGATTGGCCACTGCACTCACAACCTGGGCAAGATGGAGAGACCCAGCTTGAAAAAAACAACAATTAAAAAAGGAAAAGAAGGATCTGTGGAAGAACATGGACAAGAACCATGCAGGACAATATGGAATGGATCACTTTACAAATGGACCAACTGGGTAGAGTATCCACATAAGTAAGATTATGGTGTCATCAATGTATCAAAGTAGAAAAACTACTTTGACAGAGATAGATAACTTTTCAAAGTTTGCAGAGCACCTACCTCATAGCCCTGTGAATGGGCTATGATTTCCATTTTACAAGTAATGATGCTCACACAAATACCAAGCGAAATATTAGGATTCAAACTCCAAACTAGCACCCTACGCAATCACACTGTAGTGTGCTTCTATACTTGATAAATAAAAATATACCTATTTATCCACACACAAATGGACAAACAAGGAGACCCAAGGAGTATGTAGGATAAATGACAAGTTGTTATTTGTATATTACTGTGTGTGTGTGTGTGTGTGTGTGTGTATGTGTGTGTGTGTGTGTGTGTGCGCATACACATGCACATACATTTTAGTGGAAAAGTTTTGGATGTATGTTCAATATATGTTTGCAGAAGTTAATTTTAATGAATTGTTTTTGTTAAGCAAAATAAATTTCATACTATGCATTTTAGTTTAAAATCAGAGTAAAAATGAAAATCCTTAGCAGAAAATTAAATAAAAGCAAGGCAGCATCAACACCTTTGTGTATTTCTGCTTTGGGGTTATTCCCTTAGTCATAATCATTGACATATATATAGAGTTTTAAGGTTTGCAAAATGATTTCCATATATTATCTTATTTGTTTAACAATAACCATGTGAGGTTAAGTAATACAGGCATTCCCTCCCTATTTTACCTATGAGGAAAATGAGACACAGAGCGCTTAAGCGACTTGCCCCATGGACATACGTCAATGAATTTATGAGGCAGGATTCAAATTTAGGTTTTCCTGACTCAAAAATCTTCTGCTCCTTTTCAAAAGAAAATTTTGGATATGTGTGATATTTTTCAACAAGGAGATCAACTAGCAAATGATTTAAACACCAGTAAGATGCACTACATACAAAGAAAAATGAGCCCAAGAGTTGGTACTTTGTTATTCTACTTCTGGTCAGATTTGAAATACACAAAAAAAGTAACATGTGTGAATATATTTAATCAGAGAAGTTAAAAGGAAGAGACAAAGAAAAAAGATGAAGAAATGAAGTAATTATCAAACAAATTCAAGAAATCTGCTTTGCTACAGAGGAATAAAGGTTTCTTGTACAAGAGAAAAACAATACCTTTTCAGCTATGCCATTTTCTGTGGTATAGATTGCCATTAGCTCAGTATCCTCATTGTCCTGTTCACCACTTGGTGTGGCACCTCCATTTATTACCACCTAAAAAGAAATATTCCATGAGATTGTTATTCCAATTTACTCTGCTTTCTGTAAATAAATCTATCTGAAGCTTTTTTGTAAATCCTATTAAGACTAAAAAGCTGAGACAGGTTTTAAAGTTTGCCAAAGATCTTAAAATAACAGCTAATTAATTCTAAAAATGCATTGTGAAAAATGTAACAAAACCACCACTGTAATTTCTTACAGGGTAAATTTTACTCCAAACACATTTTTTTTAATATTTAACAGTAAAGTAAATATTCATATCATTTTAGCCAAAAGTAAATTTAAAAATCTCCTCACAGGTTCTTACAAAAGCATATTTGGATCTTAACAACTACTCACCCACAAAACAAAACATTCATAGGATATGTGTTCCCTGCTAAGCGTCTCTGTTCTGTATCAACATTCATTAACCAGAAGAACATTACTGCTTACTATACTAAATTCACTAATTAACTTGACTCCAGTTTTATTATTGAGATTCTGTTCCAAGTCATACTATGAACAGTACGTGACCTATTAAGAAGGTAAGATGCATGAACACAGTGAATTCTTCAAAAAATAAAATAGAAACAAAGACTACCACCAAACTCACAGTGTAACTCAGATCCAATTTTAAATCCCATATTGGCTTAAGCTAGCCTTCACTTTTTTGTAAGATGCTGCACAAAACCTGAAGTATGAATTTTACACACCTAGTGTCTATAAGGAATTGTTGGAATTGACTGACAACTCAGAGTGCTCCCTCACTTGTCATACACCCAAGGAAATGAACGAATACGCATTAATTAAGCAATCTCTAACTTACAGAGAGACTGAATTACTAGAGTTTAATTCTAAGTCAAGTTGTTTGAAAATTGGGAGTTTTCCCACAGAAACAATGTTATAGTGGGTAATAAGTTTCCCAAGTCTATTTAACTCTTAGTCTATTTAACACTTGTTAGCAGGATGAAACTGCAACACTAGAGAACTGAATATTATTTCTGTGAGATGCTTTAAATTCACATCGCAGATACCAGGAATACATCCACACACGTATCCAATTCTGTAACCCCCAAAATGCCTACCAATTCATACGTGCCAGCAGCTAGGGTTTCCTCTCCCATTTTCCCACAGATTCAGCTTTTTGGGCACTTATAGTGGGGGAGCTAAGTGGGCAGGGAAGGACTATAAAGAAAGATGAAATTTATGTTTAGCAAAATAGAAACAGCAAAAACTGAACAAACAGGACTAGCAGAAGGGAAAGAGTGGTAAGAATCGTGCAGGTAGAGAGACTTAAAGAAGAGTACACTTCTGGTGGAATGGCATCCAGGGTAGGATGGAGGTCCAGTTGGCTCCCTATGGCCCCTTTGGTCGTATCATTTCACTTTCATCTCTTCCATCTATGATCGTATAATGGAAGGGTGTGTGTGTGTGTGTGTGTGTGTGTGTGTGTGTGTGTGTGTGTGTGTTGAGGGCAGGGAGATGTTTATCTTATAAAATCCATCTGCTTTATTGATATTTTTCAAACAGCTTTTTAAAAATAACCACAGTCTCGTAAAACACATTATAATTTTATGCTAAAATCAGTTCATTGGGAAAAAATTTTTAAGATTTGCAAGGTTTTGGAGGAAGTGCCATTAAAACTGCTGGGTAGTATTAATTTTAAAGAGTTAACTTCTAAATGCTATTTCAACATTAACAAAATATCTTATGAAGTTTGTCTAAATGTAATAATGTCTGTGGTTTTCCTTTATATTATTTACAGTAGTGCTTAGATGATAGGAAACTTCCACCGTCATTTCACTTCTTCAGTGGGAAACCGTTTTCACATAACCTTAACAAAGTATTATAATTTGGGGGGATAAGATATACTCTCATCTCAGTAAAGACTGTTTTCATTTCATTTTTCCTTCACTAAAGTTGTGTTCAACCAACTAAACAGCTGGCTGCTATGCCTCAATTCACTATCAGTCAATCTTTATTAGGTACGTAACAAGGTGCACAGATTTTTGGACTATAAAGCTCATATATTAAGTTGGTTTTATTCAAGCTGTTTCTCTACAAGAAAAATACAACAATATCACTGAGTATCATTAAAACAGCCTGTTAAAATTTCTAAGACATTAGATATTAAAATAAGATTTATGAATTTAAAGCTTTTTATGTCTCTGGAGTGTTAAGTAATACATGTTAGTAATTTTATGGAAAGAAACTCTGGTGATAACCAGTTAATAGAATACAGTTCATAAATTAGTGGGTAAATCACTTAAGTTCTCAGTGTTCCAAGACTGCCAATCTGCACACGTTAAAGGAGTTTCACATTAGGGGTTACTGTATCAATTAAATCACAGCTCTAGATCTTCTACTCATTATCCCACCTCTGAATTCACTCTTAAGTAACTAATAGTTCATTATTATTATTATAACAACAACAACAACAAACAAGAAGAACTAGGATTAATATAGTACTTCAAGGTTTGCAAACTGCTTTATAAATATTACTTCATTTGATCCACACAACAACCCTGGGAAGCTGATACTAGTATTATCCCAATTTTACATATAAGGAAAATGAGACCAGAAGAGGTTAACTTGCCCAGGATCACAGTGCTATAAGTGTCTGAGGACAAATCTGAACTCAGTACTTCCTGACCCCAAGCCCATCACTCTAGCCAGTGTGCTACACCTGGCTGACTGGAGTGAATAATTAATCTATAAACAAATGGGAAACACCTAGGGCTCTAAAACCTAAGCAAGGCCAGAAGCTCTTAATCTCTACAATTTTTAAATTGTTAACACCTATCTGGGTAACCAGGCTCTGGTTTAATGTGACTACCACTAGTCCTTACATTAACTGTACTATTCTGTATTAACCTTAGTTTTAGGACAGAAAGAGAAAAAAATCCAAAAGCAAAGAAGAAAATATTCTACACTGACTTCTGAACAACTAAAGTGGTGCTCCCCTCCACCAGCCCCCACCACCCACTATAGTGCAGTGGATAAAACACATGACTTGAAATAGAAAATGGGATTTGTGGGTGCACTAAAAATATCTGCATGATCACTGACCACTGAAAGTGAAGTGATTTGCTTCTGGTGATTGACTTCTACTAATCTCATTTTCCTCAGCTATAAAATGGGAATTATACTTTCCCTATGTACCTGACACGGGCATTACAAGTAAAGTGTCTTGCAAACTCTAAAATGCTACAAAAATTTGACTTTTATTCTATATTTCTCCTTCAGTAAACAAAAACTAGTGTTGTCCGTCCTTTCTTCTTGAAGAGGACCAATGACATCAGGAGTGTCTTGACTTGCAAGTGAACTGGATTTAAGTAAGGCAGGGCTGTACAGAGGCATCTGTCTCACTGTCTCCTCCAGATTCTTTGGAGTCTAGTGTCAAGACATATAGGTCTGGCCCACTGGCAATGGCCCAAGATGCAGCAGGAGACCTTGGCCTTTTTAAGCTGAGGTCTTTCCCAGGTCTCAATTTTTTAGGATAACACCCATTCAGTGATTAAAGGCTAGGTAAGAATTGAGACAAAAATGGCCTAGTTTACCTTCACAAAAGAATCAATCTGCTAGGGGAAGACCCTCAGAGTTTCTGACCAAAACCAAATAAAAACTACCTCCCTCTGAAAAAAGGTATAATGAATGATAATATATTTTTTGACAGTGCAAGAAACATAGTGTGGTATTCAATAAACACCTACCAACTGTCATGCCAGAAAACTATAGCGCAATCTTTTTTGTGGCTCCTATCAATTTTGAACTTAACAGTAGAATCCTCTGCAACGAGGAAGCAAGTAAATAAATCTTAGAAACAAACAGTAAATGTTACCATGCTTGGTGCTGTTAAACAAATCTCCAGTTTATGACCTATTTAAAAAATGTACTAGCACTGGTTAACTAGCACCTTTCAACAACTGACACCTTGGTAAAATGTGGAAGATACATAAGCCTTCATCTTTTCAAATTAAATTTCAATATAGTTCTACAAAGAGAAAATATCTGAAAAATTAAGAAACTGCAGCCTGATATAGAGGAGAAATAGATAATAAAAGTCAGATTTTTGTAGTGCTTTATAACAACCTGTCAGGTACACAGAGAAATGAAAAGACTTGACCAAGCACACACAGCCAGTTAGGTCTCCTGAATCCAGGTCTGTATTCTGTCCACTACCTAGCTCTAGCTACCTCCTTAATGTGCTCCCAATCTCTTTCAGGTCTATCCAAATCTTTATAAAAGGGATCAGCTAGAAAGGTCCTCAATGCAATTAATCAACAAGCATTTAAGTGCTTACTATGTGCAAGGCTCCGTGCTAAGTGTTGGGGGTACAGAGGAAGCAAAACCAGCTCTTGCCTCCAGGAACACACATTCACTATGGAGACAGGATGCACACACACACACACACACATACATACAAGATACCCATAAAGCAAATACAAAGCAACCTTAGAAGGGAAGTCACTGATAGCTAGGGAGATCAGGAAAACAGAAAAGGCTTCACTTAGGGCTGTGTCCTGCAGGGAGCCGGCTCCTCAGAGAGGCTAAGGTGAGGTGGGTGAGTATTGCAGTCATGGTGATGGAAGACGGAGCACTGTGTAAAAAGAACAGCAAGTAAGTCACTTTGGCTGGACAGCAGAATTTGTGAATGGAAGTAAAGTATAAGAAGACTAGAATAGAAGAAAGGGGCTGGTTTATAAAGAACTTTTAATACCAAAAACAGAATTTATATTTGATCCTAAAGGTAACAAGAAGTTGCAGGAATTTACTGAATAGGAGGCAACATGGTCAAACCTGAATTTGGGGTTCCAAAAGGAATCCAAAGAAGAAAGAGTAGTCAACAATTGCCAGTGCTGCAGAGCTCAAGGAAGAGAATTGAGAAAAGGTCACTTGATTTGACAATTAAGGAATTACTAGTAGCTTTACAGAGACCAGTTTCAGTCAAATGATAATGTTTTTTGGAAAAAGCTAGAATTCAATAAACATTTACCAAGCATCTACTTCAAGGT